AAGAAAAATTAACTATTGTTATAAACTAATTTTAGTTATTTAATCATTTGGATAATAATTATGTCTTTATTTTCATTATATTATAAATTATATACGAAGGACATGTCTATATTATTAGTCAATAGTTGTTGCATAAATAATTTATTCAAAGGTTTAATGAAAAATTATTATAAATAAACAAATAATGTATAAATAGATAATAAAGAATGAACCTATCTATTCAATTATAAGTATTCAAAATAACAACCCAGGATATCACCCGAGCCACACACTAGTGTTATTATTAAAATGTAACCAAATTTTTTATTCCTGCTAAAGTAATTACATATACTCCGTATTAATGATCTTTGCATGTTGGCAAATATGTCTAATCAAAACGACAAGTTTTTGTTTAGATATGAAACACCTTAATGAATATAGATGATCTTAATTAATACATCAAGCATTTGATTTACAAAATTGTAAACGTTGACTGTTGAATTTCTAGATGAATTGTTGATAAACATAAATATAGTGATTTCTCTGTATACCTAATTTTCCTAGATAAATTTGAATTGGTATCTAACAATTTGATTCTTCCTTAACTTACCTAATCAATATGTGGAAATACAAAGATCATGTGATTTTAAACTTAGAAAGATCATATAACAAAATTTATTAGAACATGAATTAGGTATTCTGTTTCCTGTTAGGAGCAAAACTGATTGAGGAATAGACGGGAATCATAAATGTAGCTCCATTATTAAACGTAATATTCTTCGAGCAAAGTCAATTTAGAATGGCGCATGATTTAAACTGGTCCAACCTTCTGAAAACAATTTTGAGCCTTGTTTTGATTGGACTTGAAAAATGACATACATCTATATACTTTTATAAAGTTTAACTTTTATAAATGGGTTGTCTATACCCACTATATATGATATGTACCATGAACAGTTTGCTTTAATTGTTAAAGCAGAGCTAAAATAAATAAAGCTTACTGCATTTTTTTTTTTTTCCTGCTGTAATAACAACAGTATCACCATGGTTTTATCAGTAACATTACCTTGTTATATCAGTTTTTCTTTTCTAATGTGCTTCGTTATCTCTGCTCAAAGTTACAACAGCATAACCTTGGGCTCGTCTCTCATTGCTGGGGACATCTCTTCGCCTTGGGTATCTCCCTCCAAAGACTTTGCTTTCGGGTTTCAGAAGATAGAGTCTGGAAGTTTTCTGTTAGCCATATGGTTCAATAGAATCCCCGAAAGGACCATAACTTGGTCTGCCAACAGAGACATTCCAGTACCCAGGGGTTCGAAAATAGAACTTACTGCAAGCAGCTTGATACTCACTGACCCAAGTGGGCGCGAGGTATGGAGAGCTAAGCTGTTGGCTGGCAGCAGCAGAGTGACACTTTCCTCTGCAGCTATGCTCGACACTGGAAACTTCGTGCTGATGGATCGAGCTTCTGCTGTACTTTGGCAAAGCTTTGATGAGCCAACTGATACTCTTTTGCCTACACAGACGCTGAAACAAGGCAACCGACTCATTGCTAGTTTTTCTAGTAAGAATTACTCTAGTGGCAGGTTCTCATTCAACTTGGCATACAATGGAAAACTTGCATTATACACCACGGATTTCCCCCTTTTCAACACACTGAACACTATCTATGAGACATTCGATGATCAGGGATTTGGAAACCTGGTGGTGTTCGACCAGTCTGGTTCACTGTACCTTGCTGACAGCAATGGTGGAGTTCTTGTTGATATCTTTCCGGATGAGATATCACATGAACAATCTCTCTATCAGAGGGTGATTCTTGAATACGACGGTGTATTAAGACATTACGTATACTCAAAGAGTGCATCTCGTTATGGTGGCTGGTCAATCAAGTCCTTTACTCCAGATAACATCTGTACTGCTGTCATACAGCAAACAGGTAGCGGCGTATGTGGTTTCAACAGCTACTGCAAATTAGGAGATGACAGTAGACCACACTGCATATGCCCTCCAGGTTACGCGCCCTTGGATCCAAACAATGAGATGAGCGGATGCTATCAGAACTTTCCTCCACAGAGTTGTAAAGAAGGATCACAAGACAAAAATCAGTACGATTTCAAGGTGTTGCAAGACGTAGACTGGCCGCTTTCAGATTACGAGCATTATCAGAATGTTCCTATAGAATGGTGCAGGCATTTTTGTCTAACAGATTGCTTCTGTGCAGTTGCCATTTACAGAAATGGAGGGGACTGTTGGAAAAAGAAGGTTCCACTATCAAATGGGAAAAACGACACCTCTGTTGACAGGATTGCTTTCATTAAGATAAGGATTTAGATCTCTTAGTCTTATGATTTAAGAAGTATATATAATCCAACTAAATTGTGGTCTACACAATATTTGCTAATGCAGCTTAAATAAAATATTTTGGAACGGTATATTCTCAAGTTGTTATGGTTACAAGGTGATTGAAATTGTAAAACGAATAAAATCCTGGTTGTTGGGGTTGATTAATGATTATAATCATAATAATAACGCTATAATATATTTTCATGTAATATTTTCATCTTTTTATAATTTTTACTAATTGTCAAAGTACCACCGGCAGTTAGACACCATACAAATTGCAAATGGAGATATCTTCAACAAAAATACTAAGCTAGGTCTCTTAGCTTGTCATGTATGATGATATTTATCTTTATTTTATAAATCAAGTAGGAAGCTGTGGTGTCCCCTTGAAAAGACTTTAATACCCCTCCTAATTTATAATAAAAAAGAGGTTAAAAATAATTCTACATTTAAATTTTTTTATCATTTAATCATTAATCATCAATCAATTATGCCTTTAATTGATTCGATCAATAAACTTTAATCTTCAATCAATTGATCTTATAAGATTATGTCGTCATGGTTTACTCCATAATCTTCAGTCAATCCCTCGTAATTTCATCAAACTACCCACAATCAGTTCATTTAGCAAACAATCAACCCATAAAATCAAATCATGATTTCCCTATTATAGTAAAATTATTCCCTCTATTAATCAAAATATTACTTTTACATAACAATAATTACCCCATTACAATTATTCATCTACAAAACAATAATTACCCCATATAATAAAAATTATATTACTTTTACATATTATCTATATCAATTGATATTCATATATTCACAGAATCACAAGCTAGTTATTAAATTCTTCGTACTAATAATTTGAAACTATATTGAGGATTTTACATCAATATATATCTATACATAATACTAAAACAAACAACGTAACAACAATGACACGTGTCACTTCCTAAATTTTTAATGTAAATGATTTCGTTATTACTCGTTGAATTAAGTTTGTATTTTTTTTTTATTAACATTAAAATTTGTAAGCTAGTTGTGCATTGCACGTGTATTATACTAGTTTTTAAAATTTTAATGTAAGAGCACACATTGGCTTTTTAGTCTATGTTAAAGCAAGAGTGCAGAGTAACTATTTTGAAGGTAGGTTATTAGGTTTTGCTTTAACTCTCTTGAAATTTCATGCAGCAAAGTGATGTATTTAATAAAAACGGAAAAAGTATATAAAGCGATTAGTAAACTTCTTTTTTTTTTTCAATTTCATCGAAGTTTACTCAATGTGAATGTTCATAATTAATATTGTTGAGCTTGGGATAATTTATTTTTAAAAAAAATGAGCAAATTACTATGTAGTATTCCCTCTATCCCTTAATGATGTATATGTTTTTCTTAAAAAGAGTTCTAAACTGATTTGTCTATTTCTATTTCATTCCATTTATGAATCTCTCCCTTCTTTTTTATTGAAAAATGCAATAAAGTACACTCATCAATAAAGTTGACCACGAATTCTTATATCAGGTGGTCAGCCCTCATGAGGGTTACTTCATTAGTGTTGTGGGGTTACTCGAAGTATTGCAGGAGTTACTCAGTCAGTGTTACAGGAGTTACTTTATTCTTTTACAAGCGGCTAAATGGTGTGACTAGCCGTATACAAAACGCGCTGAAAGTTGACAATTACATACCATAAAAAAATGCTTTAAATTTCTATTATTATTTTTTTAATAAAGTAGACCCACACACTTGTACCAAATCTACTTTTTGTACTTAGAGCATGCACAATGGTAGGGATTCGCCCTCCTCTTAGCCTTCTCTCTCTTCTTAAGAGGAATCCCTTTGATTGTAGAGTTGAAATGGTGAATCCTCTTAAGAAGAGGAAGATGGTGAATGCTCCCTGGGAAGGAAGAAGAGATGGGGAAGGGGATTGGAAAAGGTGGGGAAAAAAACAAAACAAAAACCAAAAAAAAAAAAGTTAAAAGAAAAGGCTGGACCAGCAAGTGCAACGTGGCAGCTTCCTGCTGGCCGGCCGGGCTGGCAAGGGCCCACGTGTTGCTTTCTTTTGCTGACATTTGTTATTTTCTAATTGGTTGACATTTACAACGGTTATAATTATCCAAACGGTAATAAAAAAAAAGCGGTAACTTATTTTTAAAAAAAAAACACCAACGGTTATATTTTTTTTTTTCTCTATAAAATGAACATTAATTTGCCATATTTTCAAAATCTTCATTTTCTCCATATTTTCTCTCCTTTGCCATATTAATCTCACTCATATTCAATTAAAGTCATTATATTTTGAACTTTCAATATGGATCGAAATAATCTAAATTTAAGGAAGAAATTTGAATTTTCAAAATATTCCAAACTCTCAAAATAATTCAAATAATCCTCCTTTTGATCCAAATATCCTCAATAATCCTCAATTTCAAGCTGTCTTACAATGGTTTGGTAATCAACCAAGACCAATGAATCCAAATGATACAACCCAATATCACCAACATTTTTCTCAAGATAGTCCATTATTTCCCATGTCTCAACATTTTACCCAACCTATGGACCATTCTCCAAGAGGAGATGGTAGCACGAACGCAACTCCAACTGAAGAGGTACGAGAAGCGTAACATCTAGAGGGTCTTGATGATGTTGTCGTTGAAGTTTCTCCTGAAGAGACTATGCCGAGGAATTCATGGAGTGTAGCAGAGGATAACGCACTTGTTTCGACTTACATCAACGCCGGGGGAAATGTTACAAAAAATACGAAAAGGACTAAGGCTGGATTTTGGGTTGCAGCTGGTAAATTGTACGAACAAGTACGACTTGCAAATCCTGATGAGCTCCAGAAGAGGAGGAATACTAAGTCCTTACAACAACGTTGGGATCACATTAATTCGAATGTGAACAAGTGGGTAGAGGTATACAGTTACGAGATACGACATCCGAAGAGTGGACAATCAGATGCAGATGTTGAAAAACGTGCACACAATGCTTTTGCAATGGGGAAGAAAGGTAAACATTTCCATTTGCAACATTGTTTTGAAGTTATGCAAAATTTTCCAAAATGGGATCTGAATGAGGTCATGCAATTACCTGCTGAAAGCGGAGGAAGTGCAAAACGATCTGAACCAGAATCACCAATTGTTGAAGGTGGAAAACTACGAACTCGACCAGATGGCATAAAAAGACGAAGAGACTAGCAATGGAATCTGGTTCTTCGTCTTCATCTATAAACCTTGATTCGTTCAATACAACTCTTGAAGAATGTAGTGACAAGAGGTATGACCAAGGAGAACGAATAATTGACTTATTACGAGAGCGAGGTGAAGAAAGGAAAAGGCAAAAGGAAGAGGAGATGAAGTTCAAAATGTTAAATATGTTGATGATGAAACCTAACCTTGATGAATTTGAGGTAGAAATGTACAAGAAGCTTAGAGAGGAATTTAGTAATAGATTCTTATGAAGTTGTTCTTCTTATATGTTATTTTAATGTTTTATTTATTTCATGTTCTTAATGTATTAGTTTTTTTTAATGTTTTATTTATTTCAGAATTTATTTTAATTTTTTTAATGTATTAGTTTTTATTTTTTTTTAATGTTTTTAATATATTATATTTCAGAATTTATTTTTAATTTTTTTAATGTATTAGTTTTTTTTTAATGTTTTTAATTAATGTTTAATCATATTGTAGTAGTTATTATTATAATTACTATTATTATAGACTGTTATTATTATTATTATTATTAATTTGTTATTATTATTATTATTATTATTATTATTATTATTATTATTATTATTAGTAGTAGTAGTAGTAGTAGTGGTAAAAAAACAAAAAACAAAATTCAGTGTGTAGTCACTTCATGCATTGATACATCTACTTCATATGTCAACTTTTCTGTAAAGCCATACATATCTCTGCAAAGCTATAGATTATTGTCATGCAAAAATCTAATCTTCTGACATCTTATAATTCAAATTTTGAAATGTGTTACCAAAATATCTCTTGCATTATTACTTAGTTCATGTGGATCAAATTGTCTATATATTGACCAGTTTCATTCACATACAATTCTATCATTGTCATACAAATATTAACATTCAGTTTTACACAAATATTATCAAAAAATCGTAAAATGAATTTTGATTCTAGTTCTTCTACTTCTAGTGATGAAATATACGACTCCATGTTGTTAGATTTTATTGAGGAAAATCGACAACAACAAGTGATAGAGGATACAGTAAGATATGTTGTTAACACCGATGTACAAGAACAAGAAGTTCATGGTTCACGACATGAAAAAATGTCAAGGTGGATCGTTCCAAGAGATCGTGAAGGAGCACATGATCGGTTAGTTACAGACTACTTTAGTGACCATCCATTATACGGCGATGAAAAGTTTTGACGTAGGTTTCGTATGCGAAAACCTCTATTCATGAAGATAGTGAATACGTTGAGTGCAACTGATAGATTTTTTCAACAACATCCAGATGCCACAATGCGGCTGGGTGCTTCTGGAATTTAAAAATGCAATGCAGCAATGAGAATGTTAGCATATGGTTGCCCAGCTGATCAAATTGATGAGTATCTAAAACTTGGGGCAAGTACGGCAAGAGAATGTCTTATACACTTTGTTGATGGAGTGATTCGTGAATTCTCAACAGAATACCTGCGGAAGCCAAAAGTCGAAGATCTTGTTCGTCTCCTTAAACAAGGGGAAGAAAGGGGTTTTCTTGGCATGATGGGGAGCATCGATTGCATGCATTGGGAGTGGAAAAATTGTCCAGCTGGGTGGAAAGGAATGTATCAAGGAAGATCTAAAAGGGCGACGGTGATCTTAGAAGCTGTTGTTTCTTGGGATTTATGGATTTAGCATGCCTTTTTTGGCACGCCAGGGACGTGCAACGATATAAACGTTCTTCAACGTTCTCCCGTCTTTAACGATATTTTAAATGGTCGAGCTCCACAAGTTAATTTCACTGTGAATGGATATACCTATAACCAAGGATATTATCTCACAGATGGGATTTATCCAAAATGGGCAACATTTATTTCCGCTATTACCTCCCCACAAACCCCTAAACAGAAGTTGTTTACAATCAAACAAGAGAGTATTAGAAAAGATGTTGAGCGTGCTTTTGGTGTGCTACAAGCTCGATTTGCAATAATTAGACATCCGGCTTTGGCATGGAGTGTCGAAATGCTATGGAAAATCGTGATGGCGTGTATTATCATGCACAATATGATTGTAGAAGATGAGCGCGATAATTACATGAATTATTGGGATCCAACGGAATTTTCCACCGAACAACTTGAGAATCTAGCAGGATCATCAAGGAGAAGAGCAACAACTTTCACTGTTACCCCTGGGCGTTATAAAGATCAAAATTTAGCTACAATGATGGCTACACGAGAAAATCTTCGTAATAAACAAATTAATACATTTTTGAAGAATGATTTGCTAGAACATATGTGGGCTAGGTTTGGGAGCACTTTTGTCAACTCACCTTAAAAATAAAACGTATTTATGATTTAGTTTCTCGTTTTTCAATTATCGACTTTTAATGTATTTTTATGTTTCCGAATTTCATGAATTGTCTTTTTACATAATGTATTGCAATGTTCCTTTTTAACTATTTATTATATGTGTGACGACCGTTCTATTTACTAATTATGCATTTTAAATTATCATTAATTGTACATTTTTGTAATATATTAAAATTGTCATTTAATCTAATTATAATAATTTGTCATATTAAATTTGCAAATATCTAATTTAATAGAAGATGGTGGGGCATAAATAGAAAGGAAAGGGATTCATGAATCCCTTTTGTTGTGGGAAAACATAAAGAAAGAGAAAGAGGATGGAGATAGTGGAAAATGATGTGGAAGAAAGAGAAATGATGTGTCAAAAGGAGAGAATGAGAGAAAAGAATTAAGGGGATTCATGAATCCCCACCATTGTGCATGCTCTTATAATCATTGTGAAATTCTTCTAAAGAAATTCTAGAAACTTTTAATTCATTATTCCCGTAAAATATTAGAATTGGGCATCTTAGTAATAACTAATAAGGGACGGAGGGGAAAAACTCCCTTGAAAGAGAGGAAACCCTACCTTGAGAGAAAAGAAGCCCTACCTTGCGAGAAGGGTAATTACTCCCACTGGTTTTTCCGGTGGCTTGCTCTGTGTTTCCGATGGCCGATGATTTAGCGAATAGATATGAGAAACTTAATCTCAACGAGAAGGAGGTAGCAGTAGTAGATGTGAGTGAGGTTGCCTCAACCGAACAAGAAGAAAAACTTTCCTTGATGTTGGTGGGTAGATTGTTAACAGATAGAGGAGTGAATTTCGAGGCTTTCAAGCGTACGATAACTCAATCATGGGCGATGAAGGGGAGGGTTGTAATTCGAAGCATTGGAATTAATCTATATGTATTCCAATTCTTTCATTGGAGGGATAAGGAAAAAGTGATGGACGGAAGACCGTGGTGCTTTGAACAGAATTTACTCTTGCTCAATTCCATTAAAGGGGATGAGCAACCAACGGATGTAATCCTTACTCATTCCCCTTTCTGGGTTCGTTTAGAAAACCTTCCTTTTAATTGTTAATCTAATGAGCATGTGAGAGCAATTGCGTCAACGCTAGGGGAAGTGATGGAGATCGAAGACGAAACCCTAGCAATATGAAAGAATAGGAGAGTGAAGGTGGAATTGGACGTCCGAGAACCTCTGCGCAGGATTCATAGCATAAAAACCAAAGAGGGTAATATCGCTCGTATAAACTTAAAATATGAGCGTCTACCATTCTTTTGCTTCTTGTGCGGGAGAATGGGACATAGTGAGAAGGATTGTATCACTGCACGAAGAGGCTGAAACGAATGGTTTTGGGTGGGGACTATGGCTGAAAGCCTCACCTATGAAGGGGGGGAGAATGGAGGGAGAGGAGATGAAGGAACTCAATTCTGGCAAAAAGCTGAATTTTTTCGTGAAGGAAACGATAGATAGCGGACATAAGGTAGTTAATCCGGTTACAGGGGAGCAGTCTAGTGGAGGGCCACTACATTACCTGACATCAAATGTGGGGGACCAAGATGGAGTTGAGGGTATTGACAAGATGGTGGGGGTAGAGGAGGGAGGAGATGTGGAGCCTCTGGGTAAGGGCTCCATGCTTTCGGAGGTGCAGCAAGGCATGGGGGGTGCACTGAAGTGGAGTGAGATACTAGCAGGGGCTGAACTAAATACGGGGCTAGGGGAAGGAGCTATGGGGAATAAGATTGGTATGGCGGGTTTGTTTAACATGGGCACAGTAGGGGAACAACAAAAAGTAGTGGGTGGGAAGAGAGGTAAGGGGGGGAAATAGTAGGCAAGTAGGCAATGTAAAAAACTCAGGGAGGTCTAAGGGGGAGTGTTGCAATGATAGTGGCAGTGTGATAGGGGGAAAGAGAAAATTAGAGCATGATGCAGAGGGGTGGGTGAGAACTCTGATGGGAAGGAGTATATTGGTAAAAAGGAGAGGAGGCTTATGACTGAGGGCTGTAATACCGAGATATCTATGAAAGTAGCGGAGGTGGGTGTCAACTCACCCCGCGAACAACAATGAAAATTTTAAGTTGGAACTGTCGAGGAGTCGGCGATGCCTCGACAGTTAGTGCTCTCCGGGAAATGTGTTGGAGAGAGTTGCCAAATCTTGTCTTCATTATGGAGACAAATTAAAATTGAAGTCTAGAAGAGTAGAGCGAGTTCGGAGGAAATGTGGATTTACAGAAGGTGTAGAGGTAAGCAGTAGTGGCAGAGCTAGTGGTCTTGCTCTTTGGTGGAGAGATATAATGGTAAATATGATTTCTTTCTCCAGAACCATATAGCGATGGATGTGGTAGGAACTGACAATAACCCTGTGTGGAGGGCAATTGGTGTATATGGGTGGCCGGAGAAGGAACATAAGCACAAAACATGGAGTCTGTTAAAGAATTTGTACAACTCCTGTGAGTATCCAGTGGTCTTTTTTGGCAACTTTAATGAAATTCTAACAGAAGATGAGAAGGTGGGAGGTGTTCCGAGAGCTGAACGGTGTATGGATGGGTTTCGTGAGGCAATGGATAGTATGGGTGTGAGAGACTTGGGATTTAAAGGATGCAAATTTACATGGCAGAGAGGCTTATCGGTCTCAAATCTTGTCAGGGAGAGATTGGATAGAGGCTTGGCTAGTGGAGGTTGGTGTACCCTATTTCCTGGTGCAAGTGTCATCAATTCTCCTATTGATGTAAAACTCTCTGATCATGGCCCTATTGTCATCAAGGTGGATGGTAGTACAGATGGTGGAAGGGATAAGAAGTTATTCAGATTTGAGAAACACTGGCTTTCGAGAACTGAGTGTGAGGGTGTTGTTAAAGACTACTGGAGTAGCGCCTACAATGACCCAATACAAACAAAAATTGCAGGGTGTGCGGCTGCTCTCAGCTCATGGGCTGGTAAGACCTTTGGTGATATTAAGAAGAGAAAGAGGAAGGCGGAGGAAGAGCTCAAAGAAATACAGAAGGGTGTAATGGATGATGTTGGGCTGTCCCGATGCAAACGCCTATCAGAAAAGTTAGCTGAACTTCGTTTGATGGAGGAATCGTACTGGTATAGCAGGGCTCGTGCGTGTGAGCTCCGTGATGGGGACAAAAACACAAACTATTTTCATCACAAGGCTAGCTCTAGAAGAAGAAAAAACATGATTAAGGGGCTTGAAAATGAGGAAGGGGAATGGAAAAGAGGCAAGGAGGAGGTACAGGAGATTATAGTGAAATATTTTTCAAAAATATTCAATACTGAAGGGACCTCAGATGGGGAAGAGGCTTTAAAGGGTTGTCTTGTATGATTACAGAAGAGATGAACCAAACACTTTGCACTGTTCCCACAAGTGAGGAGATATCTAAAGCTCTATTTGAAATGCATCCTAACAAAGCCCCTGGGATCGATGGTATGCACGCTCTCTTTTATCAGAAGTTTTGGCATATTGTTGGCAATGATATCATTAATTTTATTATTGATTGGTGGTATTATGAACTGGATATTTCGGATATTGGAAAGACTTGCATTGTCCTTATACCGAAATGTCATGACCCCCGTAAAATTACAGAATACAGACCAATCAGCCTTTGCAATGTAGTGTATAAAATAATATCTAAAATGTTGGCCAACCGTCTGAAACCTCTGCTAAAAAACATCATATCCCCACAACAGAGTGCTTTTTTCCCTGGAAGACTTATCACCGACAATGCCCTTGTTGCGTTTGAAATTTTTCACTACATGAAAAGGAGGGGTGATGGGAGACATGGGACTATTGCTTTGAAACTTGACATGATGAAGGCGTATGACCGGGTGGAATGGATCTTTCTGGAGAAGGTTATGCAAAGACTTGGTTTTTGTGAATTCTAGGTTCAAAAAATAATGAGATGCCTTTCTTGTTACTCTTTCCAAAGCAAATGGGGAGATTTTTGGGAATATTACTCCTACAAGAGGTCTTCGGCAGGGGGACCCTATATTACCATATTTGTTCCTGTTTGTAGCTGATGCTTTTTCCAGACTCTTATCTCACAGTGCAGACGAAGGCTTAATTCATGGGGTGAAGGTATGTTATGGTGCTCCTCGTATATCTCACTTGTTTTTTGCGGACGATAGCATCCTTTTCTCTAGAGCTAACACAAATGAATGCTCCAAGATTGCAAATATTCTCACTACTTTTGAGTCTGCGTCTGGTCAAAAAATCAATCTCAGTAAGTCGGAGGTGTCTTTCAGCAAGAATGTGAGGCTGGATAAGAGGAAAGATATTTGTGAGTTACTTGGTGTTGGGGAGGTGGAAAAACATGAGAAATATTTGGGTATACCTACCATTATCGGCAAATCAAAGAAGATTATCTTTGCAAGTCTAAAGAGTAGGATTTGGAAGAAGTTACAGGGTTGGAAGGAAAAACTCATGTCAAAAGCAGGAAAGGAGATTCTCCTAAAATCTGTAGTGCAGGCCATCCCGACATACTTAATGGGTGTGTTCAAATTGCCAGACAGACTGCTAGAGGATATTCACTCAATGATGGCTCGGTTTTGGTGGGGTAATGGTGGTGACGGCAAAATGCACTGGAAATCATGGGAGTACTTGTGCCGTCCAAAATCCCGGGGTGGAATGGGTTTTCGAGATTTAAGAGTATTTAATCAAGCCCTGTCAGCGAAATAGGGGTGGCGACTCATACATGACAGGGATACTCTATTATACAAGGTTCTCAAAGCTAAGTATTTCAAGTCCTCTGACTTTACCCAGGCTAGGAGGGGGTTTGATCCGAGTTATACTTGGAGAAGCATTTGGGGAGCAAAATCCCTTCTGTTGGAAGGATTAATATGGAGGGTGGGTAATGGGTTGGATATTAATGTTTGGAGAGACAAATGGCTGCCCAGGGAGAAAGGTAACGAAATACCCATTCCCCCTGCTAATGGACTACATGATCTCGATCTCAGAGTGAGTGACATCATTGATCATCAAACTGGGCAGTGGGATGTTAGAGAGGTGGGGCTGCACCTTACAGCTACGGATATTGCTGATATAATGACTATCCCCCTTCTTCCGTCACCTAGTCCTGATATCCCAGTGTGGAACTTCACAAAGACCAGAGTGTTTTCTGTAAAATCTGCATACTGGCTCGGTATGGATAGCCCATCTAGCACTGAGATCTTGCATAATGAGGACTATTGGAAGCCCATTTGGTTGGTGGAAGGCCCCCCGAAGCTTAGACACTTTTTATGGAGAGCGAGTCACAGGGCCCTTGCAGTGGAAAAAGAACTTCATAGGCGTCACATGAGAGACACCGGGTCATGTCACAGATGCAATGTGGATGAGGAATCAATTGTTCAAGCTATATTCCAATGTCCTACATCCTGTAAAGTATGGGAGGAAAGTCCATTCAGAGACCATGTAGAAGCCATTGATGAAGATGATTTCTGCTCTTTACTGTCTCAATGGGTTCAGAACTTCTCCAGGGAGCAATTCAGTAGGTTCGCTACCATTATGTGGGCAATGTGGCTGTGTAGGAACAAAATGATTTTTGAGGACTCAACTCAAAACCCTCATGATGTTGCAATTGGGCTGTTGAAATTTGTTGCTGAGCACAACAGCTACACAGCCAAGGTATGTAGCAGGCCGAGCAATAGAAGCTTCTGCTCTACTTCCTCCTGGACGAAGCCGAGTGAAGGGATGGTCAAAATAAATGTTGATGCAGCCACCTTTAATGGAGATGGTATTGGGATTGGTGTGGTAGCAAGAGATTCACAGGGAGGTATATTGTTCACGGCTGCAAAGAGACAAACGGGCTGCTGGGATCCCGGTATTGCTGAAGCTACAACGGTGTTATATGGGATTCAATTGGCCATCCAGAATGGGTATGCGAAGGTATGGATTGAGAGTGATGCAGCTAATATTGTGCAGAAGCTCAACGTCCATGTTCAGGAGCTGTCGTACTTGTATTTATTTATTGAAAGGATCTTACTGTTAGTTCCGAATTTTAGCTACTTTAAATGTAGTCATGTGAGGAGGAGTGGTAACACCGTGGCTCATCTGTTAGTCAGGTCGTGTACCCGTGATGTACCTGAACAATGTTATTTTGAGTCTTTTCCGGAAGGTGTTCTTCGTCTTGCGGAATTGGACATTATTTAATATATCCTCATCTCCCTTTCAAAAAAAAAAAAAAAAAAAAAAAAAAAAAAGAAAAAAATAAAATGCATGCATTGCAAAAATAAATTAAAAAAAAAATCCTTATCCCCCATCTTAGGAAAAAGAAGACCCGCTGGTTTCTTGGTTTGAAAGATAGCCTTCTTCTTTATATGCTAGTTTCCTCCCTTACTTCCTGCATTACTACTACTAGATCTTCCCTCTCTTTGCATTCCTGCTATCACATTTCCCGGAATTCAACGCCGTCGCTATTTCAGCCGTCAGGTCTCATCTTCTCCTCTTCTCTCTCTTTTTTTCCTCTTCTGATTTGTGACTGCCACTGTTTCCAGCGGTCGCCATTCCGTCGGAGGTGGCGGTGATGATGATATCTCAACTGTTCTTCTGATTTTGCAAATTACTACATATATTTCAATATATTTACTTACTAATTTGTAGTTAAGTGATATTTATTTTTAAGATTACATTATGATTTTCAGATCTAATTTGATGTTTGATTGTACTTCCCATTTGTAATCTGCATGATCTAGTTCATCTACAGTGTTATTTTGATAATGTTATAATATTTCGGACTTGAAATTTAAGTTAATTCGTTACTTTGTTATCATTGATTACCAATTTTTGAACTCTGATCTTCAATTTTGAATTGGAAATTGTGTGTGAGAATGAGATAATAATACGATTACGACTGGCAAACTTATGACAGGTGAAGTTATTGCTCAAAAATGGCTGCTAAGCCCTCAATAATCGCGCTGTTTGACGTCGATGGGACACTTACTGCTCCTAGAAAGGTGGTGTTTCTTTTCCCTCAATTCTTATAATTGGAAACTATGGATTTATTGTTTTTTATTATTGTAATGAATATTTCTCTTTGCTGAATTTTGGATGTTAGTATGAATTAATTCATCAGTTTTAAATGTTTTTGCGTGCAGATCTCCATCTCAAAATATTACTATGTTGTTTTAGAAAAGGAACTTTGAAGTGTGATTTGCAATACTCAATTATTTTATGAAAACATTCCCTAATTTCGCATTTTCATTGGCAGGAGGTAACGCCTGAAATGTTGGAATTCATGAAAGAATTGCGAAAGGTACATTCTTGAAGTTTGGGTACTCCATAGTTGCACAGCTCCACTGCCTTATCAAATTTAATTTTAGAAGTGTTTGATGTTAATGAAAGTCAAATTTTGCACTGTGTTTTGAAATTAAATGTTCTATTTGTTTCTCATCTCATTCAAATCCAATATGCACAATATATGCTGATTAGATTTTATGTCGAGCAGCTAATATTGATGCAGCTATTCTAATGAAAAATTAAGAAAAGTTAAAGGGATAGTAACTTCTCCCTCTGTTGTAGACTTCATCTATCTCAGATTAATTTGAACACCTCTTACTTGGGAAAATAATGGGAAGAAAAGAAGGCCCTGTAGGCGATGTTAAATTGTGTATACATGATTAATATTTAGCAGTAGAAAAAGTTGGGGAAAATTTTCATCTAGTATAACCCATGACTTACTACAGGTTGTTCCTGTTGGTGTTGTTGGAGGATCGGACTTAATTAAGATATCTGAGCAACTTGGAAAGACAGGTCAGCTTATCAACACATTATTTTCTGCACTCTTTCTGTCATCTTTTATCGTTTTTCTGCAGACAGAATAGTAAATTCTGAATTCTTTTTGTCACCAAACGTTGTATTGGGTTTTATATATATTGAATTTGGTATCAGTTCTCCCTATTACTTATAAATTTCTATCCTTATCTTGAAATAAAGTTAGTTTTGGATGATCAAATAGAATAGGAAATTTTTGCTTTGACCTTACTTCTTATACAACTTCATTATCTTTGTTTTGTTTGACTATGATTATGTTTGTACAGTAATTAATGACTATGATTATGTTTTCGCGGAGAATGGACTTGTGGCTTATAAAGATGGTGCAGAGATTGGCATCATGGTAATCATCTAAACCTCGTGTATAATAGTATATATACTGAATCTGCTATAGCATTGGATCATATCAGTTCACTTAGCATCTTTATCTGGAACAAAAAAGTTTTCATGTTGGAATCTGAAGTTTTTTTAAAGCTTGGTTAGTTTGTTCCTGGTCTTTTAGTTGTTTGCCTCATTTAGCTTCTATTCCAATCAAATGTTGGAGACAATGGATCAGTCTAACTTTCATGTAATTTCTTTGTTTTTTGAGTAACTACTACAGTTTGGTTGCCTGAGCTGCAGAAGAAGTCAGTTTGTATGAACTTATTATGTTGAGAAAAATATATTTGTTCTTTAATTTCAAAATGACAAACTTCGCATTTATGATCATTAATCAAATAATGGAAAATGATTAGTAAAACAGGTGATTGCATATTGTTGATATATACAAATACTTTTCTATTTACCAGACAATCATAAGCTTCCTATTATATGCATATGTTATGAATTGTTTATATATGGTTTTCTATAAAAGGAAGCTTGGTAATTGGTATACAAGAGAGATGCCAAGTGTTGAAGTGCTCTGCTTTTTATTTATGTGTTAGGTATCATGTCTGTCTGTAGATGAAATAGTCATATTGATAAGGTTTCTTTTTAGAGTAGAATAGTGTTGAAGATTACAAGATTACATACTTCCCATGTCTAATGAGCGTGTGATGATGTTGCAGAGCTTGAAGAAACTTCTCGGAGAAGAAAATATCAAGGTAAGAGTAGATGAATTGAAGAGTTGATGAACTTCATATAAATAGGAATAGAGGATGTTATACTTGAGGTCTTGAGTGAGGTCATATCAGGATCCTGGTTGAACAAGATCAAATCATGAATGCTTGCTGATGGGGATTGTCTAAGAGGAACACCATGATATCATTAATTTGGATAATAATTGTATCAGGGTTGCTTGATGGATAATTGGCAGCTTTAGGTATGGCTTAGTGTTAGAAAGTCCTGAGAGTTAAAGTGTTGGACATGTCTGAACCGGTCAGCCCTACTGTGGATTATTGTTATGTGTATCATTTTTCTGTATAGTGTAGTTGAGTTTACAGTATGTTGTTTCAGGAGTTCATCAATTTTACGCTGAAGTACATTGCAGACTTGGATATTCCTATAAAAAGGTATCTGTGGATGTGTATGAATCTTCAAATATATTTCTTTTTACTATTGCAAGAGCATTACTTATTATTTTTGCCTATCAATATTTTCAGGGGAACATTTATAGAGTTTCGAAATGGGATGATTAATGTTTCACCTATTGGGAGAAATTGTAGCCAAGAAGAAAGAGATGAGTTTGAAAAGTATGACAAGGTAGTACCTTGGTTTTCCTGCGCATATATTCTCTTAGATAGATAAGATTATTTAGCTTTTCAATGATCATCTTTAAGGATTATTTAACATCTTGTACAGGTCCAAAAAATACGTGCAACAATGGTTTCTGTATTGCGCGAGAAATTTGGTCAATTAAATCTGACATTTTCAATAGGAGGGCAGATAAGCTTTGATGTAAGTGATTCTCAATCTTTTTAGAAGCTGTTTAAATTACCAATGAATAAATATTCTCATCTAGGTCTTGCATATTATAGGTTTTTCCTCGAGGTTGGGATAAGACCTATAGTCTGCGTTACCTTGAGGACTTCAGTGAGATTCACTTTTTTGGTGACAAAACTTTTGAGGTGAGGTGTATACTTAATTTTTATTAGTTTTATTGATCTCAAATGCCTCTATTCTCTGTCAATTGTGTTGTATATCAGTCTACTCTTGTCTCACTTTTTGTTCCTTCACTTGCTTCATAGCAATAGTGTTGAGTTTTTGCTTTCAGCATGTCATATGGGTACATTGTGTGTTGTAGACTGGTAATTTAGACAAATTCAGAAAAAATTGCTGTCAGGCAATTTCAGGTTATAGATAAAAGGGCCACCCAAGTTCAATTTAGAACTAAATGAAGTTCATGTAAATTTAATTAAGCTCAATAAAGTTTAGAAAAGCAAAAATCAGGTGAATAGAAGAGTATTGGGACTTGGGAGTAAGTGTTGGATTGTTGGTTAGATAATAAAGAGATTTAAACACAAGTGTGTTGAATACTTTGATATGGATTTTTCTCTCTATGTACAAATGTGGTACTTCGTTATTATGAGGTTTTAGCCTCCTTTCTAATAAGTGAGGAGAATACGCTAAGCAGCCTACTTTGTTATACACAATTTGTCCTCATATGTTAAATATACATATCTTGACTTTAGGTAAACCCTATAAAATAATTACCTATCAAACCCTAATGTTCTAGATAAATCCTTAGATGTAACTACACTTACATCATGCATTATCAATCTTTTCTAGGCAATCTTTAAATATCCTCGACAATTCATCCTAGATTATTCTTCTAAATGCTTTTCCTGAAACTTTTAATAACTCATTTTCTGTATGCAGAAACCTGAAATGAGACTGTTCCACCAATGCCACCAAACAATTCTCTCTATAACCCCATAATTTAATTATCCATGCTTAGCAATCATGTGTGGTATCCTCAAAAGTGAATTCCTATCGGGGAAATGCTTCTCTAGAGGCAAGAATAGTGCCCCATTGTCAAGGAGTTAAGTCAGTTGGCCTATGATTTAGGAATAATGTCATGACTCATGACTAATATGAGTATATTTTATGCGTTTATAAGATAAACTTTTTGGACTGGTGTGTCTTGCTAAAATCACTGAGGAGATAGGCTTCGTAACTTTCAGAAAATCACAAGTTGGTACTACCTTTTCTGAAGTATCAAATTTGTTCAAATACTCCAATATATGTTAAGTTAAACACCCAACTAGATAACTATGTTGGCTATTGTGCTTGCTGTATGTTTTTGGTTCAAGTACTTAGATTATCGGTTCCTTTTTTTATTATTATATGACCTATTAATGTTGCAATTTAAAGTAAGTGTACATCTTGGCAGCATCTAACTTCCAGAATTCGAAAGATTATGAGACGTATGAACGGATAACATTGTTCTGTTTCATTTTAAGAGTAGTTGCATCAGTAGTCCACTGTTGACACCACAATAATGTGTATCGCAATCTGTGTTTTTCTATAACTAGGTTCTGGCTTCCTTTTTGCAGGGTGGAAATGATCATGAAATCTTTGCATCTGAGAGGACCATAGGTCATACAGGTGAGCTAATTCTATTGATTTTATATATAAATGATCTTCATGGTCTGAGGTCCATCTCTTCATGCAACGCTATTGGTCTTTGAAACACATTGTTTTTGCTGATTACTCGGTATCATCCTTGAAACACATTGTTTCTGCCGATTACTCCCTCCATCCCTTAGAGTTTGCCTCATTTTACTTTTTAGGCTGTCCCTAAAACATTGCCACATGCTTTAAATGTTCATGAGTAACCACAACTTTACTCACACACACATTATTGTTAGTCCCACCACTTTTTTCTCTCATCATGTACACCCTACCAAATCTTAACGAAGTAAGTATTATAAAAAATGGCTTTGGCACAAACAATTGGGGACAGAGGGAGTGCGAACGTGTTTAAGTGAACACAATGCGCTTTATGACATTTTGCATAGGTTTCTTGTGTTTGAGTAGTACTAAAATCAGTTGTTTTACAATTCTCAGTTACCAGTCCTGAGGATACAAGGAAGCAGTGTACAGAGATCTTCCTCACCAAGAGAGAATGAGACATCTGCAGACTACATCATATGCTGACACTTAAGTTTTTTCTAGAAAATGGACTACAAACCTATATACTGAACATTAAACAAGCGAAAAACTCATACCCGCAAAATGCTGCGAATCATCATATACCTGTATTATTTGTATAACGTTGTAGGAAGAGAACTTTTATTTTTCCTGGTGAATGCCGTCAAGGGATTTATGCAATCCTTGCCATTTACTGCATTGTATTTTTTTGTTTTTCTTTTTTGTGACATTGGTCTACTTCATTGTACGGAGCACTTCAAAGACAAATGCTTGGTGTAATAGGGAATAAATTTACGTTTTTGCTCTTACTGAGGAACGCAAGAGAGAAAATGTACTTTTTTGAAGTGTGAGATGAGAGCATGAGAGTGCCTGGAAGGGTAATGACTAAGTAGGTTAGGTTAATGCTACTAAGGAGCAGGTCAGACTGTAAACATTTCTAAAATTGTTAAGATTTGTAGCTAAAAGCATGTTTAGTATAGCATATTTGAGTGGTGGAAATGAAATCAGTCAACCATTTCCATTACCTATTGCTTGGTATGAGAGGCGTGATAATACACTCCATTTTCTAGGGGTAACTATCACCGGGTAATTCTCATCCTTGCACAACATATATTGTCTATATATTTGATAAAGTATACTCTATGTTAAAATATTATCATTCCAAACACTACTAACCTAGTATTAAATATGGTAATTTGGTAAGCAAAGTGCTGCCTTATGAATAACCTTATGTTGTTATGTATTGGCACTAACATTAAGTACTGGTAATTGATGTAAAATTGATATACGAGTAATATTTCAAACTTTGTGATGTAAAATTGATATACGAGTAATATTTCAAACTTTGTGACTTTAGATAGCCAGTAGCACGATAGTTACCACCAGGGCTGACACAAAGGGTAGGCAGGGATTGCCTAGGGCCCAGGTCAAGGAAGAGACCCAAAAAAAGTGATTAAATCTAAAAAATGGAAGTAAAGGGGCTCTTGTTTACAGTTTTTTTAGGGACCATAAAATATCAGGATCGAGGCCGGTCACTAAAGATTAAAAAATACAAAACCACATCTTTTCCCACCACCACTAGCAACAATAAGTCTATGCTTCTCCGACTTTCTCCTATTGACATGTCATATTTCCCATTGTTTTTTATAAATTCAATAAGTGTTATGCAACTTCCTTGCTAAAGATGAATATTGAATGATGTTTCGGTAAAAACAATGGGACCTTCAGCAGGTCCTTCGGATGCGTGGAGACGAAGCCCAATTCGAGTGATGACCGAATTAGGGATTTCCTGCACAGCTAAACAAACGTAAACTGGCCTCGGGGGTTGTGCCGAGGAAGGCCCCTCCGATGCCAAAGTCAGTACGAGTGTAAAAAAGAAAGAGAGTTGCTATGCAAGAGTGTTTGTTGCTTGAGGCAATATGAGTGAATGAATGTGAGTTTGCATAAGTGTGAGCTTTTATACCTTGCTCCAATTGAATGGAGTGGGCTTGAGGAGCCATATGGGCTGCCATTTGACTGGGCTTCGTTGACTTGACTTGGCACATGGGCTTGAGGGTTGAACCTTACCTTTTGGGCTTTGGTTTGTTTTCATTTATGGACTGGGCCCAAATATAAGTTATTTGGACCCCAAACAACTTGCCCCCCAGACCCGATTCGTGAGGATAACGGGTCGGGTTTTCGGCTGCTGAGAGATTTGTAGGGAAGTAAATGAAAACAAATTTTGAACTGTGTTTGAAGAATTTGTACGATTTATAACCGTTAATTACACTTAACTAACCTTAACGACAGTTAATTAAGGGTAATGGGGAAGTTAAAAGAATTTAGTGGATAATTAAAATTTTGGCGGCTGCAATTAATGAACGGAATTTGAATAGCCAAGAATTGGAGGGGGTGAGTGGGAAGTTTAAGAAGTATTTAATCCTAGAAGGATTGCTTCCGGAATTCACTTAAGCAAATCCACTCGCAAAACCCACACTCGATCAACTCCCAAGCTTTCCCAAAACACGCGCAAAATCTCATTTCCTTTTTCGCAAAATCCGAACTTTCCGAAGCTTTTCAGTGGAATACGTTGCTCCGAGTCCATAGATCGGCGCATTCCGAGTTTAGTTAAGGCAATTTTCTCTGAATTTCATTCGGTTTTCCTCGTTTTCTAAGCTTTTCCCCTTTTTTCGCTTCTCTTTCGTCGTTGTCGATTTCGAAATGGCCGGCAACCCTGAAAACAGGCCGGTGGAATCTGAGGTAAGTGCTTCAGAGGGAGAAGCGTCGCAGTTAGTTTTGAGGCGTAATCGCCCCTTGGCGATGATGCCATTCTTGAGTGGGTGGAACCCTAATGTCGGAACTAGGGCCGCCACTACTTCGAGTGGCGAAGGAGTGAGGGCGGTGCCTTTGAATAGTGCCCCTCCTGCCGAGACAGCCGAAGCTAGTACCTCCGGCCGAAGGGTAATCTTGGGGCCCAGGCCTCTGACTCCCGAAGAACGGGAGTGGACCGAAGAATCCGAGAATACTGGTTTGATCTGACTGCACCGTATTCTTGGTGGCTGGAAAATGATGCTCGGTACCGATTTGCCGAGCAACTTGAGGTTTACTACGGCATAATGGAATCAGATGGCTACTGGTGCCGAATGCCCACATCTACGGACAGGATCTATCGAGCCCCTCCTGGTTATATTGGGGTTTATGTTCGGCAGCTGCAGTATGGGTTGAGATTCCCAGTTCACCCATTTGTCGTGGAGATCTTAAATGGGTATAACATCTCATTGGCTCAGCTAACCCCCGTGAGTTTCCGAAGGGTCATGACCTATCTGTGGGTCTGTCTTTTTTTCGAGTTTGAGCCGAGCGTTCATTGCTTTCGGTGTATGCATCGGCTAACGCCGAACACCCAGTTGAACAAATGGCATGGTACTGGTTGGTGGCAGATAGAAGACGAAAAGGGGTATCTTTCCACCTATCCAAACGACACCTCGGACAAACACTGGCAAGGTCAACGGATCTGGGTGCGCTCCTTCAGATGAGGGCCACCCTAACTATTTTGGGGGGCCTCGTTATACGAGTAAGCTTGAACCCTCCATGCCCAGTATCGGCCCTGATAACTTCACAGAAGTTGATCGCCAACAGATGGAGTTTTTTGGCCGAAAGACTGTTTCGGGCGTTACTGGCCGGATGACTGTCGTACCGGCTGTCTGGTTGCCTTGTTGTCACTACATCTTTCAAGAGAAGATGTTAGTTGTTGTCGGCCTCAGCCGAAGATACCAAGGTGGTTTGTGATTTGGCTGGGGCCGAAACTTTCAATTTTGTTTTTCTAAGTTATTCAACTTTGACGTTTCTAGCCGAGCTAATATTTTGTCTTTATGATGTTTTCAGAGGTCTGCGAAGAGAACTCAGGAATCAATTACGACGTTCTCGGGATCAGCTAGACGAGGGAGCCAATCACCAACACTCCCGCAATCACCGCGGTCAAAGATCGACCCCTTGCGCTGCAGTCGAGAAAGCTAGAAGTGGTCAGCGCTTTTGAATACTTGGCGCAGAAGCCCTGGCACAAGAAGCTTGACCCCTTCTTTCTTCATTCAGCCGAAGAAGAGGTTGTCGCTGCTGCTGCTGTCCCTCGAGGCGGTATTGAACCTCCAGCTTCTACTTCCGAGCCAAAGAGGGAAGACAAAGAAGACTCGGACTCCGAGGACTTGCTCCGACCCTTGGTAAGTCTCTTTCCTGCTTTAGTTTGCTTGAATTTGTCTAAGTATAGAGCTTCGGCAGTTAGGTTCTTCAGCTTTGTGAAAAATTCTCTAAGTGTATGACTCCTTCTCAAGCATGCATGTTACACGTGACTTTCTTAACTTAGTCTTCGGATGCATGTTGTTTTCTACTTTGTTCAGCTTGTTAGGACTTGAACAATTTGTAGATTTTCCGCGATTCTTTGTTGTGCTTTGCTTGATTTGCGCAATTTTGCTAAGTATAAGGCTTCGGTTGTGAGACCTGTGCGTATACTTCATGTGTGTTTTTTTACTTACACATGTATCTGCCCCTCCCCCCCCCCCCCTTTATCTGCTTTGTTGCAGTCTGACGAGGAAGAGATAAAGGAGAGTGATCCAGCTGAAGAGACCATGGCTGGTGGCAAGAGGAGGATACTTGTCCGTCCAGGACAGTTTAAGGCGCCAGAGCCACCTGCCAAAAAGCCTCGGCACGAAGAGGTCCGAGAAGAAGAAGCGAGGGAAGTCACCTCCCCATCTCGAGAGGTACTTGTCGAAGTTGTTGAGCTGAAGATCCCTCCTTCATCTCCTCCTCGTGACTCTGGGATGTTCGCAGAGAATATTCGGCAAGAGGTGGATAAGCTGAATTTCCACGCCGAGGATGCTGCGACTATTGAGGGTGAACCGCAGATGGCAGAAACTGAAGAGCCAAAAAATGAAGAAGTGCCTTCCATCTCTGCTGCGGATTCATTCAAGACGTTCTAGTCTTCGGATATGGGCTTCGGTTCAGCGCCCCAGGTCCCCACTCCAGAACATGCTCGGGCCCTGTTCAAGTCCAAGCGTGATTCAACCAGTGCTTATTTCGGCAATCTGGCCAATTTATCAGCGCTGGATAAGGCTAGGGCTTGGATGGTGGGCGCTGCTGCCAGGGATGCCGAGCCTCTTGATAAGGTGTCGAACCCTTTTTTAGAGAACCAGAGGCTACTCATGCAGGTGAGTTTCAACACAAAATTTTCTCTAGATTTCTCTCTCTTTATATATTATTATTTTTTTTGAGAAAAATTTTCTAAGTGTTGGGCCTCGGCTAATCTTCGATTTTGCCGATTGGTTGATTTTTTGCAGGTTGTTCATAATCATTTCCTAGCTGCGGAAATGAATGATGAGTTGCAATCTAAAGCCGACAAGGTCGAAGAAGCTGAAAGTCTGGCTCCGCTAGCCGAGCTGAAGCAAGTGAGGGCTGAAGAGGAGGTATCGGCTTTAAAATCCGAAATGGGAAACATGAGCGCCAACTTCCTCTCCTTTTGCCGGAGTCTGGAGCGGACTGTCTTTCCATGGATAGACGAGCGTCAGTCTCTGATGAAGGAATACGGGGCCGAGACCATTGCTGAGTTCAAGGCTCGTATTGAGGAGAGGGTGAAGGAAGAGACTGAATCTCGGCGGCTCCTAATTTCGGATCATGAAAGCCAGGTTGGTCTTATCCGTACAGAACCTAAGGATAAGCAGGCTGAGTTGGAGGTCGAAGTCCAAAAGTTGAAGGATGCGCTGGAAGCTGAAAAAAAGGTGTCCTCCAAAGCCACATCTGACCTTGCAGCTGCTCAGGAACTGTTGAAAACCAGGATTTACACTGAGGCAGAGTATGTTGAAGGATATGAGAATGGCTGGAAGGTTGCTCAGCGATTGGCCTTCCATCTTGAGCCTAAAATTAATTGGGATCAGGCTGAAGCCTGGTCCATGGATCCAGAAGATGCTCATATGCATGAGGCCAGTCCAGCCGAGGTAGCATTCCTGGCTCGGCAAGCTGAGGATGAGGAAAGAGAGGAAGAAGCTGCGAAAGAGCTGAATGCCGCCCATCCTGCTTCCTCTTCAGCCGATGTTGAGGCTTAGGCTGCCCCGAACGACGTTCCCAAGAATGCTGAAGCATAGGAATTCGGGCAGTCGTCTACTGAATCATGCGGATCAACGTGCGCTTAACTTGTAAACGCCGCATCAGCTTTTGCCTGTTCTCTTTTTATTTCAGCCTGCCTATGTACAAACTATTTTAACTGTTTTTGTGTACTTTCGGCAGCTGTGTTTTCCGCTATGTGGGTGGCTGCCGACTTTGAATTTTTCTGTTCCGAATTTGAACTTTTCTCCATGCTTATGTTTATCAAAACTGCAACTTAATGCTTTATTCGAATGATGAAATAGAATTTCAGCTATCTCTCCTTGTTTTGCCTGCTTGAGTAGCTTTGAACTTAGTTGCTTTTTCCAGAATTTCTTCAAAATTTGGCTAAGTACAAAGCTTCGGCATGGAAATATTTAGCTGAGAATTTTTCTTATTCCTTTATGCCTTGCCCATTTTGCTCGGATTTTTCTTGAAATTTCCCAAGTATTGAGCTTCGGCTTGGAGCTTGATATGTGAGTACCTCTTGCCCCCCCCCCTAGAACTTTGAAGATAAGGTCTTCAGAGTTCTGAGTTTATTGCTTTCATTCTTTCAGCGTAGCCGAAGGTTTGGACTTAGCAACATTTTTGCAACTTAATAGTTTGAACACTTATGTTTGTTTCTTATGTTCTGCCTGGTTTTAATTCATCCGAGGGAACGACTATCTGGGACACAGTGCCAGGACAATGATCATCCTAAGTGCAAGGCATCATTATGCAATACTTCGGAAGTGTAATCATCACCCGGAATTGATTTGCCGAAGCACAGGGCATCATTATGCAATGCTTCGGGCCTTTTATCAATTCCTATTTTTGGCTATGTCTTTGACGAGCCTATGACCTATTTGCCGAGAGTAACAAATCCGCCCAAGGTACAGTGCATCATTATGCAATACCTCAAGGTTCTATTTGTTACCCGCATATCGGCAGGTTCTTCGGTTTGCCGAAGTACCGTGCATCACTATGCAATACTTCGGACAGCGCCGGGTGTAAACCTTGAATTTTTCAAAAACGACGAAGACAGAAATAATGAAGACATAATGAAATTGTGACTAATTGTGGCTCAAAGGCCTTTCATTGATTGAAGAAAATGCACTTACATAGATTGTTCTCCCACAACGGGTTTTACACATGATATCTCTTAAGTACATCAGCATTCCAGTGGTTTTTCAGCTCAGTTCCATCTAATTGCCGAAGTCGATAAGTTCCTGGTTGGAGCTCATCGTATATCTCATAAGGCCCTTCCCAGTTTGCCGAGAGCTTTCCATGGATGCGGCCTTTCTGGACAGCAGCAGCATTCCGAAGAACAAGGTCCCCAACTTTGAGAAGTCTTGCCTGGACTCTTCGGTTATAGAATTTGCTGATTCTTTGTTTGTATGCCGCCATTCTATCTCTAGCCGAATCTCGGTTTCGTCTAGGAAATCAAGGGACTCTTTCATTAGATGCTCATTTTCTTCGGCTGAAAATGGTTGACTCGAAGACTTTCTGAACCTATTTCCACTGGTAAGACAGCTTCGGATCCATACACCAATTCAAAAGGTGAATGCGTTGTCGCCTCTTTCTCGGTTGTCTGAAGTGACCATAGAGTTCCGGGAAGTTCCTCTATCCACTTGGACTTTTGATCTTCGACCCTCTTCTTGAGAGCATTAAGGATCTGCTTGTTCGCGGCTTCGGCTTGGCCGTTACTTTGAGGGTGACAAGCTGCCGAGTTTGCCAGCTTAATGCCGAACTGGTCCGTGTAACACCTCAGCGGCAGATTGTCAAACTGCCTCCCATGATCGAAGACAAACACCTTCGGTATGCCAAAGCGAGTAATGATATTCTGCCAGATGAATTTCCTGACAGTCAACTCAGTTATGTTTGAAGCTGCTTCGGCTTCAACCCATTTGCTGAAATAGTCGATGCCGACTATTATTAGCCATTTTTTCTGGTAGGGAGCCTCAGGAAAAGGCCCCAGAATATTCGATCCCCATTGAGCAAAAGGTAAGGGATTCAATATTGGCTGAAGATCTCGCGACGGCCGATGGATAACTGGTGCGAATTTTTGGCATTTCTCACACTTTTTCACCAGCTCCTTGGCGTCTAAAATCATGGTTGGCCAATAGTATCATGCCCTTAATGTTTTGTGGGTCAGGTCCTTCCCCCTATGTGGTTTCCGCAGATGCCGAAGTGAATCTCCCGAAGGATATAATCTGCATCTGTTGGACCCACACATTTCAACAGTGGGGTTGGGAAGGATTCTTTCAAGAGTTCCCCATTATAGACAATGAACCTTGAGCCGATTCTTTTCAGTTTCGCGGCCAAGATTCTTTCTTCGGGAAGTTCGCCCTGAAGCTTATAAGCGAGGATGGTGTCCATCCAGCTTGGTTCGGCCTCGACACATAGGACCTCAGCTTCTTGGTCGATGCTTCTGTTTCGGCGCACTTCCACATATACAGATCGGTCCAACTCTGTGAGAGATGAACTTGCAAGTTTGGAGAGTGCATCGGCTTGAGCATTTTGGCCCCTTGGGATTAGCTCAACTTCAAACGTTCTCAGCTTCGCCATCACGTTTTTGATTTTGGCGAGATAGGATATCATGGAGGGTTCCTTAGCCTCATATTCGCCTCGGATCTGATTGGCGACTAGCTGAGAGTCTGTCTTTAAACAGACATGTTCGGCTTCGAGGGCTATGCACAAATCTAAGCCAGCAATTGCTGCTTCATATTCGGCTTCGTTGTTGGAGGCCTTGAATGAGAATTTTAGTGCATACTCGAAGTTTTTGCCTTCGGGAGAGGTGATCACTACCACTGCCCCCGAACCATTCACGGTGGTTGAGCCATCCGTGAAAACAGTCCAGATCTTCTTTCCCTTGTCGAGTGTTTCCTGATAGGAACATTCGGCTAGGAAATCTGCTAAGGCTTGGGCCTTAATAGCTGCCCTCGGCTGGTAGCTTACGCTGAACTTAGTGAGCTCGAAGGCCCACTTTGTTAGTCTGCCTGACTTCTCCACCTTGCCGAGGACTTTTTCAAGCGGTTGATCTGTCAAGACTACTATCTGATGTGAGTCAAAATAAGGCCTTAACTTCCGAGCCGCTACTACCACTGCATATGCAACTTTTTCGAGCAAGGGGTAGCGCGTTTCGGCGTCGGTCAAAGTATGACTGACGAAGTAGATCGGTTGCTGAACCTTTTCTTCTTCCCTCAGCAGCACCGCACTTACTGTGGCGGGGCTAACTGCCACGTACAAGTACAAGACTTCCCCTTCAGCTGGTCTTGCCAGCGTTGGGAGATTAGCCAAGTGCTCTCGGAGTTGTTGGAAGGCTATCTTTTGCTCTTCTTCCCATATGAGCTCTTTAGATTTTGGAAGTTTGAGCGCTTTGAAGAAGGGCAACCCTTTGTCCGAGGCTTTTGAGATGAACCTGGACAGGGCAGCCATCCTCCCAGTGAGACGCTGAACGTCCCTCTTTGTTTTTGGCTCGGGAAGGTCAAGAGCTGCTTGAACTTTGGCGGTATTGGCATCAATCCCCCTTTTGCTGACCATGAAGCCGAAGAATTTCCCTGACTTCACGCCGAAGACACATTTCTACGGATTCAGCTTCATTTGATGCTTTCTTAGAGTGGCGAACGTTTCGGCTAGGTCCGCAACATGGTCTTTCGCTTCTTTGCTTTTGACGATGGAATCGTCAACATAGACTTCCATATTGCGGCCTTTTTGCTCGGCGGTCCACCAACCTCTAATATGTCTCTTCGGCGTTTTTCAAGCTGAAGGGCATCATCTTGTAGTTTTATAGCCCGGCACTCGTAACGAATGTCGTTTTTGCTCTGTCATCGGGGTGCATGAAGATCTGATGGTACCCAGAAAATGCATCCATGAAACTAAGCATAGCATGGCCACTTGTCGAGTCGACCAACTGATCGATTCTCGGCAAGGGATAGAAGTCCTTCGGACAGGCCCTATATAGGTTCGTGAAGTCAACGCACATTCTGTAGGTGCCATTAGCCTTCTGAACCATCACTACATTCGCCAGCCATTCAGGATATTGGCAAGGCTCGATGAACCCTGCGTCCAGAAGTTTTTTGACTTCGGCTGCGATGTCTTGGTTCTTTTGAGTGGAATAATTCCGCTTCTTTTGCTTAACAGGCCGACTTGTGGGGTCGACATGAAGCTTGTGAGAGATGAGGTTCGGATCAATTCCCGGCATGTCATCTGTTGAGAATGCGAACACATCTCGGTTGTCCCGAAGGAGTTGGATTAATTCAACCCGGAAGCTCGGATTGAGCCCTTGTCCGATGCTGACACATTTTTCGGTATCTCTTTCGGTCAACGATATTGATTCAGTTTGTTCATCTGACTCCATTGCCTTGGAGCTAGGCTCTTCTGGTTCGGGCCTATTGTCAATATCAGCAGACCTCCCTTGTTTCGGCTGATCTTCTTCTAAATCTTTCGGCCCAGCCGAAGAACTAGCCTTTCCAGTCCCCAAATATGTTCATTTGGATGGGGATCCCTGAGCCGAAGCACTTAAGCCCTTTGGCCTTTTGGTACCCTGCTCCCTTTCTTTCTCTTTTTCTTCCTCATCATCCTTGTCATTGCGGCGACTTTTAAATGGTTTGAGGAAATTGCATTCTCGGGCCTCCCTTTGGCTGCCCAAGATTTTTTCGAAGCGTCCTTCGTCTGAAACGTAGATCATTGCTTGATGATACGTCGAGACAACTCCTTGAACGTTATGGATGAAGGGTCTCCCCATAATGACGTTGTATACTGATGGGGCATCAATGACCAAGAATTCGGCCATGATGCTTCACCTTGCTCGGTCTAGGCCGAGGCTAACGGGAAGAAGAATTTTCCCATCTGGATATGAAGAAGAGCCGTTCAATCCAGTCACCGGGTAGGGAACTGGAGTTAGGTGCCTGCTCTCCAACTTCAGCTGGTCGAATGCCTTACGGAAAAATATATTCGCCTCGCTGCCACCGTCTACCAGTGTCCGATAGACGTTGTGGTTTGCAATGCTCGTCATGATAACCAATGAGTCATCATGGGGGTACACCACCCCCCTGCAGCCTTCGCATGTGAACATCATGTTCGGCGCCGGAGACTGTGGCTTTCGGAATTCGGCGTGATGAATCTGATGGGTCATCCCCCTCAGATGGCGTTTCAGCGCATTCCGAGAAATACCTCCGGAAATGGTTAAGATGTCATGATTTCCTCCCTCGGGAGGTTTGTCCCTTTTCCGGTGGTAATCCAGGTCCTGCTGAGAATCTCTCTCAGCTTTCTTTTCTTCGCAGCGTTCCGCGACATATTTCTATAAGTACCCTTTCTGGACCAGTTCTTCAATCTGGTCCTTCCGCTGAAGGCAATCCTCGGTGCAATGTCCACGGGATTCATAGATTTCGCACCAATGATCCTTCCCTTTCTTCTGATGCCAAGAAGGAGGCGGCTTCGGCTTTTTGAATCTTCCCTCCTCCCTCGTCGCACTAAAGATCTTAGTACGTGGTAAGGTGAGAGGGGTGTAAGATTCGAACTTTCCCGGATATGGGGCCTTATCCTTCTTCGGCTTTGCGATCGAGGGAGGTTCTGAGGCCTTTGCCTTCCCTTTCCTCAACCCTGGAACTTCAGCTTGCTGCCCTTTTGGCTTTGCAAGCCCTAATTGAGATTGCAGCTTGGCCTTGTTTCATTCCTCGGCTCGGATGAACTTATCTGAAGCATCGAGGGCTTCTTCCAAGGTCTGCGGGGGATGCATGACCATGAAATCTAGAAACTTTCCAGCTTGTAAGTCGTTCCGTAGTGCGAATATGGCTAGACTTTGGTCCAGACTTGTGATTCTGGACGACTCGTTGCTGAAGCGAGTCAAGTAATCTCGAAGACTTTCGTCCTCCATTTGTTGCAGACTCATAAGTTCTGCAGTGGTTTTCTCTCGACGGTTAGCTGTGGAAAACTTGCTCTTGAACTTGTTGGCGAGATCACTCCAACCTGTTATAGAGCCTTCCTTCAGCCCTTTGGTGATCCATGATTGGGCAACACCTTTAAGGGTTGTGGGGAAGTACTTGCACCAGGTAGCTTCAGACCTGGGGTTAAGGTACATAAGCCCCTCGTAAGAGGCTATGTGGTCCTTCGGATCCGAAGTACCATCGTAAGTGATGTGTGCCGGAATTTTGACCGTCGGCACATGTTCCTCCAGTATCCACCTTTGGAAAGGTGAACTGGTAGGAACCATCACGGCCTTTCCCCTCTGCCTTCCCGAAGGAACCTCACTTCTCCCACTTAGAGAGGTGGAAGTGAGGGGTGTCCCTCCGCGTGGCAGTTCTAGGCGAGAGCCTTCGGGATAGGTGAGACGGCTGTGAATGTCCTTCTCCCTTTCCCCTAGGCGCTCGTAAACGCTTCGGCGAGAAGCGTTATGGCTGCTTGAAGTGTCCTTTGAGTTTCGGACTTGGGAATTTTCAAAGTGACCGGAGTCCCCTCGTCGTTCCCGTCCTGTCTTAGCCAGGCTTTCGGCTCCTCCGCTTCCCTCTCCCTTGGAGAGTGGAATTCGTCCTTCCCCTTCCGAAGCCAGTTTCCTTTTCCGGCTTTCCGGCTTCGGCGAGGGCGAAGGAGGAGTAGTATGCACGGATGGGAGGCGTCCACCCAGGGTTTTCATGAATTCCATGCAGACAGCCACGGCCCTCGCCACCTCTTCAGTTGAAGGAATGGTGGGAGGATTTGAATGCATACTCTGCGGAAGGCCATCTTCATGAGCGTCGCTCTCTCTCGGCGAGTTCCCAGTTTGGTGAATTCGTCGAGAGGAACATCCCTCGTGCAGATTCTCTCTCATCGGAGAGTTAGAGGCAGATGGTTCAGGCGACGGTGAGGGTGTCCTACCGGTCCTCACCGTGATTAGGCCCATCTTTTTTGCTTTTTTGGAGTTTTTGCCACTCTTAGTCATTTTTTTTTTTTTTTGCGTTATCTAAGATTGGTATGAGATTTTTAGCTGAATTTTTGTAAGTATCCCCACAGACGGCGCCAAATTGTTTCGGTAAAAACAATGGGACCTTCAGCAGGTCCTTCGGATGCGTGGAGACAAAGCCCAATTCGAGTGATGACCGAATTAGGGATTTCCTGCATAGCTAAACAAACGTAAACTAGCCTCGGGGGTTGTGCCGAGGAAGGCCCCTCCGATGCCAAAGTCAGTACGAGTGTAAAAGAGAAAGAGAGTTGCTATGCAAGAGTGTTTGTTGCTTGAGGCAATATGAGTGAATGAATGTGAGTTTGCATAAGTGTGAGCTTTTATACCTTGCTCCAATTGAATGGAGTGAGCTTGAGGAGCCATATGGGCTGCCATTTGACTGGGCTTCGTTGACTTGACTTGGCACATGGGCTTGAGGGTTGAACCTTACCTTTTAGGCTTTGGTTTGTTTTTATTTATGGACTGGGCCCAAATATAAGTTATTTGGACCCCAAACAGATGATTTTGAAACTTTTTTATAAGAGCGTTGATTATTATAGGAGCCACACCCAGTTAATCTCCTTGATAAAAATGTTTCTCAAGAGGTAAATTGGTCATTTCATCAACAAAATGAAGGTTAATTTTGTCATTCTTTCCATCTTCATCCTCCTTCCGTCATTTTTCCAGCCACCTACTACATGTCATCTACTTCCTCCTCTTCCACACTTCCACCTACCTTCAACTTCTTCTTCCTCCTCCTTCACCCACCCACCGTCATCTTCTTCCATTCCCAACACCACCATTTCGGACATTGGCACACCAACATCTTCATCTTCTTCGTCTCCACCGTTACCAACTCCACTATTTCCGGCGGCTTCACTACCATTTAAACGAATACCCTAAGTTAAAGGGGAGAAGTACATGGCATAGTTAACCCTTAAAGGTATGTGAGGTTTTCCTTCTACTTGTGAGCTTTCTCCACTAATGGTGAAGTAAGAAATTTGACATCCATTTTCGTCATGACTTGTAGCCCAACAATAAGAAACAATAGGCAAATGTCGCTTTCATGCAAGTGGCTAAAAGTAAAAGTACAGCTGGCAAATTAATTTTTAAAATAATAAACATTACTCATTTTATTTACCAATTTGCCACAAGATTAACGAAAATCGTTGATCTTGATGATCAACTTGGATTTTTCTCTTATTATATGTGGTTTAAAATATACTTACAGTCAAAAAAATATAATTAATACTCCATATTAAAACTATAATACTATACAAGCTATACATATCGATCATCATATAGAACATGAGATTGTGTTGACTACATATTTGACAATAATTTCCACAATCTATACTATCTATTAAAAAGCGTTCCTAAAAACGCTTATGTGCCATGTGCTACCCTACTACGTACACTAAACTCGCCACATTATCTTTAAGTCCAAAAGGTTTATCATAAGGTCTGAACTCAAGACCACCAAGATGTGAATTAAAAGCATTATCATCTCAACTATTGACTAATCATGTTTTTATATTCATTATTCAACCCATAAATACATATATACTTTTATGTATGGATTGGAGAGCATTTGATTAATTACTACTTTTTCTTTTTTTTTTAAATCAATTCTATTATTTGCTAATACTCACTGAGATAATAAATGCAAGACAGATAAAATATTTGTTATAAAATAACTTTAGTTGTTTAATTATTTTGACAATTATGTTTTTATTTTCAATATATCAATATAAAATATAGCGTGTTTATCATTAGTTGTTGAAGTACTTGAATCATAACATAAATAGACATAAAAACGCAACAAAGATAAGGATCAAAGGAAATTCAAAACTATAACATTCACAAGCAACCATCCATAGCAAAATTCACGCAAAACCATTGAAAAAAAGGGAAATTCTACATGGTGGCCTCATGATTTTGAGTTTTTTACGTGGAAGACGAAGTTTTTTTTAACTCACTTAGTGGCACCAAGGTTTAGAAAAATTGACCATAGTGACTTTTTTTAGGTTTATGGCTAACCTTTTTAGTTAAAATGGTTAACCTTTGATTTTTTTTATTAAAAAATTATTTAAATTATATTTTAAAATAATAAAATTTAAAAAAAAATAGAAAAAAAATAAAAAACAAAAAAATTCCCAGCCACCTATCCCCATCGTCAAACCCTAACCCCACCCCTAGCCTTGCCGGAAACTGGCCAACCACCCCTCTTACCCATCGAAATCGAACTGGTGGATCTGTACACCACCTTTAACCCATCCCCAACTTCCAAAACCACCAACCCAGCCAACCTTGACCCCCAAAACCACCTAAAGTCACCGCGTGCGCTCGTCGGACTTATTGGTGGTTTTTGGGATCGGGGTGGCTGGGTAGGCAGTTACGGGGGTCAGGGCTAGGTTAGTTGACCTTTTAAAAGGCCGGTCGGCGAGTTTTGGTGGTCAAGGGGTGCGGCCGGCCAATTTTCGTTGAATTAAGGGTTTCGCGGTGGGGGTGGCGGTGGTTTCGTTGGACTTCGAGTTGTTTTGGGGATCGGGGTGGCGATTTTGGGGGCCGGGGCTAGGTCAGGTGGGGTTGTGGAAGGCCGGCCGGCCAGTTTAGGTGGTTTCGTTGGTCGGGGGTTGGGCTGGAAGGTGGTTTCGGTGGTCGGGGTGGCCAAATTCTGGCAAAGATAGGGTTTGCGGGGTGGTTGAGAATTTTTGGGAATTTTTTTGTTTATTTTTTTTTTAATTTTATTATTTTAAAATATAACTTAAATAATTTTTTAATAAAAAAAAATCAAAGGTTAACCATTTTAACTAAAAAAGTTAGCCATAAACCTAAAAAAGGTCACTATGGTAAATTTTTCTAAACCTTGGTGCCACTAAAGAGAGCTGAAAAAAACTTCGTCTTCCACGTAGAAAACTCAAAATCATGAGGCCACTCCTCCACCACCGGAACGATTTTGTTAGGGCGATTTCCATCAATATTGTTAGAAAAGTTATAAATTCCAACAATATGCTAGTTTTTGTAAATATTCAATACATACCGTCCACGTCACCATAAAGATTGATTTTTTTTTATATAACAAAATAAAACCACTAATTGAGGGTTCGTTTGGCATTACTGTGGTTTTCTGTTTTTTGGTTTTCAAAGTCATATGATATATGTCATATAATAAATCAAAAAGCAGTCAAACTTATTAAAATCATGATAATATTGAAAACTGACAACAAAAAAAGTGAAAACACCTTTTTCTTGTTTCCTGTTTTTGGTTTTTTGTTTTAAAAAAATAGAAAACAAAAAACGATGACAAACAAGCCCTGAATTAGCAGTTTTATTAAAAGTAAAACCGCTAATTGAATTAGCGGTTTACTTACTTAAAATTCATGTACAAAAAAAAAATATAAACCGCTAATTCAATTAGCGGTTTTACCTTTGATAAACTACTAATTCTATTAGGTTTTGTTGTGAACTAGTAAAAAAAAAGTTAATGACGTGGACAATTGCCATGTTTGGTAATTAGAGTTTTTGATCAAAATTGAGTTTATTTGACCAAGTTAGAGGTTTGACTACATAAATTATCTAATGTAGTTGTTTGGTAAAAGAGCTTTTTTAATTAAATGAGTTGATTAAGGCAAATAAACTAATTTCTAAAAAGCTAAAAAAATAAAGAAGAGATTTTTAGATTAGCTTATTGAGTAATGGATTTCAAATGACAATTTTATCCTAAAAAGTTACTCTAGTTTACATTCTTGCCCTCCTACTTTCTTACCCTAGTCAAGTAAAAATAAATTGTCATTTTATGTGTTCAACTAACAATCAACTACAACTAATAAGCTAATTTCATCAAACAACTCTATATAATAAGCTCTTACCAATCAGCTAGTCAAAATAATTAATGCAACCAGCTAGTCAAACCAGTTAATGCAATCAGCTCTTACAAATCAGCTAACCGATAATTACCAAATAGGGCCAATATGTAGGGAATATTAGCAAAAAGTGGCATAATGTTGGAATTTATAACTTTTCCAACCATTTCTATGGAAATCATTCATTTTGTTATGAATTTCTAATTTTTTATCATTTTTTCAAGCAATTTTTATTTAATAATTCATAAAATCGATAAGGAAAAATCCAAGTTCATCTATGAAATAAGTCTGTAAATATTTCTCCACTCACCATACAATGTTTTTTTTAAAAAAAAAAAATAATAAAAGTGAAATAATAAAGTGGCACATAAATAAATGCATAAAGTTGTGAGAAGAAATAAACTGAAATGTTAATCTCACGTATTAACCGGGGCTCTCTCGAATGGATAAGAGAAAATACAAGTTTCTCTTAGTGATACACAAAAACTATTATCCCATGACATTTTCGTAAATAAATCAACAATTTTTTCATTAATGTGGGTTCCACATTCACAGTTGATGGTGATTGTATAAAGTTGTTGATTTATTTACGAAAATGTCATATGATATACTTCCTCCGTTTCTTTTTAGTTGACACGTTTTTTTAGTCACGTTTGTCAATGCACAAGTTCAACCATTCATATCTTTAATTACCGATAAGAAAAAAATTATGAAAATTTGATATTTTGAAAATATATATCGTAACGAATCTAAAAAGATCTCACATGAGTATATTTTTCATCACGTATAAAGCACAAAAAACGGTCAAAGGGGAGTGTGTGAATAGTGTTAAAGTCAAAATGTGTCAACTAAAAAAACAAATGTAGTACAAATTTGTTTATCATTGAGAGTAACTGACTAAAGCCTTGTTCTTTTGAGCTGCTCTGCTGAAACCTGTTCTGCTCTGCTCAAAAACTCAAAAGAACGGGCCTAACTGCGGCAAGCTCAACAAATAAATTTTAATTAGGTTTTTTTATAATTTATTTAAAGTCACTTCGTATTTCATCCCCTCTCTCTCTCCTCCCACCCTCTCAACCCAAAACCCCCAAAAAACCCCAACGCAAAACCGAAGATGAGCTCCCCTTTCAGCAACACCACCACCAGCACCCCAAATTTCGACAATCTCCTCCTTCAATCTCTAATGGGTCGTCTTCAACTCCGCCAACAACCACCTTCTCTTCAGCAAAACCACCCTCTTCTCTCTCAATCCTTCGAAGACCTCCTCCTCGACGCCGCTACCAACGGCGGCCGTCTCTCCGACTTCTCTTTCTCCGACGATGATGATGGTGACTTCTCCGATGGTTGCGACACCAAAACCCATCTTTCCAAGGAAGAATCCAAGCTTGAAAAGGAGCTTATTAAGGTTATTCTTAGTGGGAATACGGAGACTTTGAAACCCAATTCAGGGCAAGCTGTTGCGATTGGTGAACACCATGTTTGTGTTGGGTTTCATGAGGAAAACGGGTCGGATTATCGGGTTTGGGAATGGCATGGACATATTATGTTGTTTGATGAGGAGAATGGGTATACTCCTGAGTATATTTATGGGAATTACTTTGAGAGATTGATGGGTAAAGGGAAGAGAGAGAGGAAGGAGAAGGAGGTGATTTTGGAGGAGGAGGAACAAGAGGAGAGTGAACAGAAGGTGGAGAATTTGGGTTTGAGGGAGTTGATTGAAGGGGGTGATTCGCCTGGGAGTCGGATTCTTCATCAAAGCCGAAATGCCGGTTCACCGAGGTAATTTCTTATGATTGGCTATATATTCATGTTGATTTAAGTTATTTGTTTATTGAGTTTGTAGCTATTCTTGTATGGTTGTGTGAGTCATGAATTAATTGGACAAATTGAGTTGAGTGATGAATGTGAAGTGAATGTGTTAGGTATTAAAAATGCAAGTATTTGAGTTGATTGATAACTGTGGAAATGGATTTGTGTTTACAATATGCAAGTTTTTGTGTGATGACTATGGTTTGCAGCTGATAAATGTTGTTATCTTTACTTGTTTAAAAAATAATACTATGGAGCAAAAATGTGGAGGATACTACTAGTAGTAGTAATCCTGATTTCGGATTGCACTTGGTTGAAGTCTTGCAATGATTTTTCAGCAATTGTTCTTGGTTGCTCGAGGGTAGGATGCGTAGACCTTTAAGATGAAAGCTTTAGCCTTGATAGTTGGTGAGATGGTTGCCACTTTTCAGTAGAATTTGATTGGCAAATGAAAATGTTTTATAGAGGTTGTGAGTTATGAAAATAATTTTGATTGAATTGCAAATTTGCTTGATAAGAAGCTGATAGTAGCTAAGTAAATATTAAAGTAGTTGCTTCTGCAGTAGTTTTTCTCTATAGAAAAGAATAGGAAATTGAGATTTCCTTTTTATTTCTTTTTTCTTCTTCAGGGTTTGGGTGGATGGGGGGTATGGGGTAGAGGAGTTACTGGGTCATGGTGGCCTAGCTAGTTAAAAGACATTAAATGGAAACAAAGTGAAAGTTTTAGGACCTTTGGGTGCCACACAGAGCTCTTAGATGAAGTTCATTCAGTGCGCTTACATGATCACATCTTAAAACAATTGTTCTTACCGACAAAAAGCTGATGTTTATCTTGGTGGTTTTCAAATTGTCCAATTGACTTGATTGTTACAGAAAAGGAAATTGATCAATATATCAACTTGTTATGTGTGAGAAAGACTTTTAGTTCTCACCTTTGAAGAATCTGAAATGAGTTTGTAATCATCCTAAGTTCCTAACCTATGTCTTTTGTTTGATTTAAGAATCTTCCAAATTGAAACTTGAAGGCCTATTTCTAAATCCCCACCACTTTAATCAGAATTAAAGTTATAAAATACTCTGTGATTAAAATAGCAACCCCTCCACGACTACCCTCTCCCCTCCTCTTTACCACAAACCGCTGCTTCCACAGTACCACCCTCTATCGTAACCTTCACGCCTGCTACTACTACTCATTCATCTCCCACCATGGTACCACCCTGTTGGTAATTCAGTACTCACCGTTAGTCTGCTGCTCCACCCTGTCTACTGCTGCTGCTGCCAATTTCTCCCACACTTAATTTAGAATTCAAACAAAAAGGTCCACTCAGCCCATCCAACAACAATTCCTATCTGTTCATTCAAGTTCTGAATTTGGGACTTTTTTTCTATCAAAATTGACATCCAAAGGTCAATTTTAGAGGTGGCAGCAGTGCAGCACAGAGAGGTGAATAGGTGGCCGAGGAGGGAAGACAAGGATTGAGGCAATGTCTAAAAGAGGGATATCTTGAGTTCTTGACTGTCAAGCATGTGGTATTAAGTGTGGCATTTTAGGTATGACTTATTCCAAACCCATGAGTTAGTTTTTCTAACGATACCATACTTGAACCAAACTTCTCAACCACTCAATGTAACTCATAAACAAAGCACTCTAACTTTTAAAGCTTTCGTCATTGTTTTCAGTTTTGAATCGCTTGTTTTCCAGCATCCCCTCTTGACCCATCCAACAAGTCAAATGGAACATTCTTGAATTGTGCCAGCACTCCACCTTGAGCCAAATTGTCTGATGGGTCATCTTCTCTCCTCTTTTGAGTCTTTCCTCATCACTTCTTCCCTTTGAAGTTCTTCCACTTCAGTGGAAATTATATACAATGAATGAGTAACTTTGATTCAGATTGTAATGATGATGGCAGTTTTTCTTTTTCATTTAATTATCTAAACCATGCTTAAGAGTTTTGGCAGAATTTACAGTGAGTGCTTATATATATATATATATATATATATATATATATTTGAATACGAGGCACAAGCTCACAAGACTGATTAGGGCTCTTTGATCAATATTTCCGCCTTTTTTCTTAGATGAAATACTTTGATTTTTACACTAATTACATACTCTACTTTCACTATCTTTGGAGATTTATACTTAATGGAAAATATAGTCATGTGAGATCTTGTTAGAATTGTCTTAGTTTATATTTCTAAAATATATAGTTTTATAATTCGTACTTATTGATAATTAGAGATATTAATGGCTGAATATATGCATTGATAAGCATGAATTAGAGAAGTGTTTCATCTAAAACTCGAATGAAGTATTACCTTTATTTTTTCACCACATGCTTGATGAAAAATCTGTGCCTTTCAATTTTGTGATATTGGGTTATAGGAATCATAACCCCGTTTTGGATGGTGCCCTAGTACTCTAGTAGTATCATTGTAACTCAGTTCACCTTAACAACCTTAACAAATTCTGTTTTATTTTTTCTGTTAAGGTCATCGGAAAATTCATACTTTTTGCTAGTTTTTGATTAATTATCTCAGACCTGATGGGTAATTAAGATTGTTATTTGATTTGGAAACTGATGATTGCATAAGGTAGAATATAGCTGGTGTAATGCTTAACTAAACTTCATATAGATGTGAGGGTTTCAAATATAGCTCTTAAAATCACTAGTACTTAGACTATAATTCAACATCTTGGTTGCTTATACTGTTGCTCAAGTGGGAGATACTATTTATATGGTAACCTAGTAATATATTGAAGGGTATATAAAATTTAATGGTCCTTATAGGTGAATAGGGTTATCCCAAGGTTTTAAAACTTCCATTATACTCCATATGTCTTAATATTTACATACCATCAAAATATCTTAAGTTAAATTGAGCATTGCATCAGGATAATATATAACATTAATTTTTCAAATCCTTACTACTACCTATTTATTTATTTAAGTGATTTAACTTTTCTACCCTTATTTTATTGATTTTTTTTTTTTTTTAATTGGGATACCTTTAGAAAAATTTATGTATATATTTATATACATCATACATTGATATTTACTTTATTGTTGATTTGTTTAATGATCAAGTTAAAATTTCAAGGACTTTGTTAGGCTTTTGAATTGATTTCTAAAAACATGGTTTGAAAAGGTCATGAATGGGAGGGGTTTTTTTTGATTAATTTATTGATAAAGGTGTTTTCTTCTTTTGTGCCCATACAAGCAAGTGTTTTTTAAGGGTGATTGCTTAATGATACAAAAGGCTCGATTGGTTGGACTTTTTGGAATGGAGTTGAAGTCCATTTTATATATTTAATGTTTGGTTAGGCTTTTTAATATGGAATTTCATACTAAAAGGTTCTATCTCTACCCCATCCCCCTAGAATCTCATATTGACCTCGCTCCAATAGTAAACCAAACAACTTCAGACTAGTATGAGATTTTGATTCATCCATACTTCCTTAGTATGGGATTCCATACCATTCGATTTCATTTTTGCAAAACATAAGACCCCTACATGAGAAGTATAATGTTAGATATGCTAAGAATTGTTGAATTATTAGTTACCTTATTTGAACTATAAACCCAAGTTTATTGTGAAATTTCCTTGTAGAGAAAGATAGTGGAATGTAAGTATTTTGGTTCTTGGGGGCCTTATAGACCTCCAAGAAGAAGTTTCCTTGATCTTAGATCTCTAAAAATTTTCTTTTCTTGTTCTTTGCTTCTTGGAAACTGGCAAACACAGATATTTGTAACTTTATAAAGATATTACTTTACTTGAGACACAGTCGGAGTTAATATTCAAAGTACAAGTTAAGGGAGTGATATGTGACGGATGAATAGTGCTCATGTTTTTGTATTAGGAGTGATTTTTTTTCCTCTGCCACTCTCTTTGTGGCAAGTGTGGCACTTAACCTCCGACCCCATTGCCCCACTTAAAAGCTATCTTCTATTTGCCACTCTCAATGATAGATAACCTCTATCTAGCACCTCTTTACTCCCTCACCTATTCCTAGCTATCTCTCTCCTATATGTCTCTCTCACTAAGATAGGAGACGCTAAACTTATTTTCATCAGAGATTAGATGATTTTCTGGGCTGATCCAATTTGCAGAAAGATTTTGATCATTTTGCAATATGAGACTCTTCTGTTGTGAGCTACAAAATTAAAAGCAGACAATCATTTTGGATTGAAAGGAGTAATGCTTATGGCCAGATTATTCTTGAGCCACAAATTGCAATCAGACCATCTTTTTGGGACTGAGGAACTGATGGATTAGTGTTTACTGCAAGCTCCTGTTGTAGAGGGAGACGAAAGATAGTACCGCAAATATGCTATCGCTAAGATAGTACCACAAATATGCAATTGTTAAAAGGAGGTCAACCAAAGTTATATTTCGATTATCATGCCTAGGAAAAAGTGCGGGGGAAGATAAGAGGTATCAAAAGTTGTGTGTGGATGGCAGCAATGGTGTTGTTGGTGATAATAGATGGTGATAATGGTGGTGGTATAGGGGGATGGAGAGATTTAAGTGAATTGCTTTCCATTGGAGGGGGTATTATTTGTAATTGCTTACTTTAATTTGGGAAAATAAATGACTTGCCATTCCAACCCCCCCCCCCACCCCCCGGTTTAATTTCCTTCTATTCCTACACCACTAGGTAGCGCATGAGTAAACCTCCCCTATATTTGTTTGAAAAAGCGTGCCTAGGCGCAAGGCGGTAGGGGGTAAGTGCTAAACTTGATCTGGGCGAGGCGTTTTTGGTTAGGCGCACCAAAAGCATACGAGGCGCACGTGAGGCAAACCTGAAGCAAACTTCTGCTAAATTTTTTAACTATTTGTATAGTGCGCCCCACTTCAAAGAGGCGCACCTAGCCGCAGCAGAACCCCTCTCACTTCAACGAGCCTTGATCTTTTTTATACATTGCTCAAGATCAATAAAAACTTCTTCTCACCTACCCATGAACCACATTAATCTCTGTGTATTTTATAGTTCTTCGTTAATCTTTCTTGCATCCGTCAAAACACTCTATCACATGATTGAATGCATCACAACCATTCCACTTTCATCCCTGTATAGTCTCTAGGCGAGTCATAGAAACTTGCTTTTAATCTTGTGCAAAAAAGCAAAATCGACTCTGGCATATATGATTCCATTGACGCCCTGGAACACTTGAATCTTGGTACCTCCGGGGCCTTCCTTGACCAATAAAGATCTCCATTAGTCATCCTTTGTGACGCATTGGTCAGCTTTTGATATCTGCACTTTAGCATTTATTGCAATCTTGTTTCATGCCTTTATTTTATAAGAGAAACAAACTGTATCCTTCTTTAACTGAACTAATCTATGATGTGTGACATAAATTACGATATAATTTGGCTATTTCTAGTTTTTGTCTGTAGTTTCCTTGTGCTTCACTGTAACTAGAGGCAGAGAGCTGATCTAAAAGAAATTGTTCTTTGCTGGTGAGAATTAAGATATGACCTCAAATTAAATTTCACAACATTGTGTGGTTTGTTACAGTTTTGTGAGGGTACAGGCTACTTAGAATTTTTGTTTTTTACCTTCTTAAGATTGTCTTGTGAGCTATAAAAAAAAAAGGGGTTAAAAGTTTCAAGATAATCTGCCTCTCAAAGTTCAGTGCCTATTGTGCTGCTTTGCTTATTTAAATGATTCACTTGGCGTTGTTGATACTGCTTATCTAAATAAGTCAGTTGGCATTGTTGATATTTTATACCTTGCTCAAGTTCACTTCCCAGGATTGTGAACTTTTAACATTTACACATGTGACCTAGATGGATTCTTGCGACATTTTCTTTGGTTTGCCTTAGCCCTTAGGTGTGAACTATGAATGTCGGATCTAGCTTAGAGCAAGAGGGTTAGGGATGGCGTATGCTAGTATGCTTATACCTTGCTTAAGTAAAATTTTTTTGAGTAGTCAATATTGAAAAAGGGAAAGCTTCTTCTGTGTGCTATAGTTTTACCTCACCCCAAATTTGACATTCAGTCTCTCTTTTGGTCTTTCCTCTTCTGACTTCATTTGTCTGTCACCTGAAATTCGAAAAACCAGGCACCATTCATGAGGACTTTAGGAGTCGTAATCAATGGCCTTCATGGATTTTCTTGTAATTATCTTATATTACTCTGTGAAATTTTGCTATAATGGGTTTTAAATGTAACTGATATGTCTAGCTTTTCACCTTGTTGGTTCTGAAATTGAATGGGAGAAAAATACATAATTTCCGTAAATTTGCTGATTGACCAAATGGAAATCTTAGCTTTATCCACCAATTTTCTAACACAATATCCCAGATCTGCTGTAGCTGACTCCATGATATTCTTCTTAGTGTTCCTTTCTATAGCAAGTGTCAGTAGTTTGCTCTCTGATATTGTAGATATCAGATTACTAAGATCATCTGTTAAGATCTTGATTAGTTAAATTTCTAAGCCTTGTGATTCCTTAAGCCATATTTGGTGTTGTGCCTCATTTTGATTATTCTTCTTGACATTCCACCACCTAGTTTTGATAGTAACAACCAGCTTTAAATTTTATAGAACAAGTTGATATTTTTTATATTGCTTACTCTTTAACTAGATGATTGATCGATCATTGATCACTGGTTCTCAAAGCTGCCACGATTATCATCATGTTACCAAATATTAACTGCTAATTAATAAGCAAAATTTGGCTTGATGCAGATGTCTTCAAGATACAAGTGGAAAATGAGGTACTAGAGACTCGCACATCTTCCGAAATTTTCTTAAAGAAAACCTGGATTACCTCTTTGTCTAAATTTTGGTTTTGATATCCCATTGATTTTGTCACTGCTCGCGAGTGCGTTTTTTAGTTTTGTTTTGAGTCTTTTGGATGGAGGTAAGGTCTGTATGTCCATCGGACTGCAGCAGACTAATGTAATTATTTCCTTTCAAGTAAAGCCATATGCCTCCATTTCCCATCCAAAAAAGGGTGAGGTTATATCACATATACTGCTATTCTATTTTAGTGACACTAAATGGTTGATGGTTAGCCACTATTAGATCTAGTGTGGCCGTGTTGGTGCAAGGGGTACAGATGTACCACCGGTTTTTAATGAAAACTCTTTTCATAAGTAATACTATTAATAAAAGAAGAAACAGGTGAAGGCGATTCTAGAGAGTTTTAAACACCCAGATACTGCTGTCTTAGAGAGTTTTCTCTCTTTAAGGAAGGCTATCTGCTATCTTAGCTTATGGTTGCTCCATCCACCCTCCCTGAATAACAGAGCTTGATTTGTTAGTATTCTCTCGCGCATTATTTTGTTGCATGTATGAATCTTTACGGTTTTTCCTGTACTCAAATGGAACAATTGTGTATAGCAAGGGTATGTGGCATCGAAAGTAGAATTTAGACAAATCTCAGGCACCAAAATGAAAATTCTCAACAAAGTTAATAAGCTAGCTTTGATTGGCCATATATATTAGAATTATTAGAGTTCTATAATAGTTTAAAAGAAAAAATAAAAGGCCTTGTGAGTTTTATTGAAACGCAAAAGGACATGGAAAATTTGGGATGGTGATGATAAAAGTCAAAAATCTGATAGTAGTGTCTAGTGTGTAGTCATCCAATAGAGAAGATGTGCCTTTCAATATTATAGACGTAATTGCGGGGAAATAAATTTATGCGCAAATTTAGATTCCGATAGAGATCGTTTTAGCAGTACTCTTACCACTCTTAATAGTTGTTGCGATACATAAAGGAACACGTTGGTTGTAGACTTGTAGTGTTGTACTATTAGTTAAAGAAAAGCAAACTTTTTTTTTTTTTTTAAGGTATAAGGAAAATTCCCTTGCAACTAGGGGAGAATAACTAAATAAGGGATCCCACTTGTTTGGGGTGAGAATCGAACCCCTTTTATAGGAGTGAAAGGAGGGCCTTCAACCATTAGGCCAACCTTAATTCTCAAAGACAAAAAAAAAAAAAACCTTGATTCTCAAAGAAAAGCAACATGTTGCCGGGATTTTTGACTATTATTACGGAGTAATATTTTTAACTATGTATATGTGAAATAATATTCAATTAATCAAAAAATTAATCTGAGAAAAGGAAAAAAAAAAAAAAAAAAAAAAAAAAAGTGATCAAAAGACTTTCAAATGACTAATAGTATGTTAACAAAGGGAAAAAAAATAACATGATAAATTAAAGATCCATATAGATGTAAAATTATGATAATAGTAAATCACTCGTTCCTTAATACTTTTTATATTACCTCCATTTTATTTATTTATTTATTTTTTACCGGTAAAATTATGATAATAGTAAATCACTCGTTCCCTATTACAGGAATGGAGGGATGTGAGGAGTCGAACTCCCATCACATGGGGGAGAGATGGAGGGACCATCCCTCCATCTCCTCACTTCTCTACCTTTGTTTTAAATTATTTTCGTTTTAAATTTAATATAAAGTGTGAGTAGAAAATGACTAATCGTTGTAGATAATTTGAAACGGAGGTACTATTATTTTCTTTTTCCTTTCCCACAGAATTCTACATTTTCATTATAGAAACACTAATATTTAACTTCGTTGTTTTAGGCCCTGTTCACTTCATCTTAAAAAATAATGTTCCATAAAAATAATTTCAGCTCAATAAAAATAATTTCAGTTCAACAAAAATAAGTTCAGTTCAGTAAAAATAAGTTCAGTTCAGTAAAAATAATTTCAGTTAAGTAAAAATCAGTAACTTTAAAGAAGAAATATAACAGTAAATCAGTAAAAATAATTTCAGTTCAGCAAAAAAGTTTCAGTTTAGTAAAATTAATTTCAGTTCAGTAAATATAATTTAATTTCAGCAAAAATAATTTCAGTTCAATAAAAATAATTTCAGTTTAGCAAAAATAAGGTAAATCAATCATCTCTCCCCAAATTAGATAAATACTTTTGATTACATTACATAATTATCTATTCATCATGTCTTCCCAAATAATTCTTGCAATTGCACATGTACAAGCTAGTACTCTAAATAAAAGTCTTTACCTTTTTTTCAATTACCATCAATGATTAGCTTTTATTTTTGGTGTGAATTGTCCAAAATCTCTTTAAGAAAATATCTCACTACATTTCAAACATAATGATTGTCCAACACTCCAACTTATCAACTTTTTGGAGTACAATAATTGATCAACAAAAATATAAAGCAATATTTTATCAACTTTATTCTTTTTGTAAATTTATTTATTTATTATTAGTATAACAGCTATAAATGATCTGTTGGATGCACCAGTTTTAACCCGAATCTTCGTTGTAGGCCGGCAACCCAGGCCCAACTAATATTTTATCAACTTTATTTTACTTTTATTTTTTATTTTTAAGTGAAAGATCCAATATGACAGATCACGTGACCGATGATGGTGGCTAAAAGACAGAGATCTTGTAACGATATTCCGTCGATATTAATTAATTAATTAATAGCCTTTTTTTTGTTGACGGGAGCTACGGCACGTTTGCACGTTGCTTAACATGAAATAATAATCTTTTTTGGTTTAATCCGCATTTTTGTCGAATTTTTTTTAGTTAACTAAGATTCCGTTTATGGAGTTTGTACTTGTATGTTGAATCTCATAATCGTTGGATCTAAGTCATCTAGTCATCTCATCCTTAGATAATTGTGCTCTTTGGTTGATATTTTTGTAATGATTTGCACATGAGTAGAATCAACAAAAGTGATCTAATCTAGAGATTTAGATTCAATTTTTACTTGAAATTAGATGATATGATTTGACTGTAATCAAAGTTGAACCTACTTGATCCAATCTAGCCCAAATGAATATGTTGGAAATTATACTTGATTAACTAATTGAATTAGGCTCAAATATGATGGCACAACATCCGATTTGGACCTGTTTTCATAAGTCATGATTCATTCTTCATTACAAATATATCATAGCTGATAGAGTATAATGTATATTTCTGGGTTGAGGCCCAGAAATATATTTTATAATCTATCAAGTGGACCAACTCAGCCAAAAGTTTAAACTTATAGTTAAAGTTCTGGAATATATTTTATTACCTATCAATAGCGATTCATTTTCCATACTAGTAAGAAGAATGCGCACTATCGGAATGAGACCTTGAACAAGTCAAACTCCACCCGCGTTTATGAGCATGGCACCTTAAGTGAAGGAAGAAAGGTGGAGTAAAGGAATCATTAGTCTCAAATTGCTTCTCAACGGGGATTGATCCCACAACCTCATGATTTCAGTAAAATTAATTTCAATTTGTCAAAAATAATTTCAATTCAATAAAAATAATTTCAATTCAGCAACAATAAATTAAAGTGAACGGAGCCTAAATCTCATGTTTAATATCCTTCTGTAATAGATAGTAATAAACATTTACCATGCAATATGCAAGTCTTTATCTACACAATTGCAAAGACAACATTCAAGTGGCAAAGTGAATTTTTCATGTTTTCAATAACTGTACTTTAATCTAACTCCATGTGTAGAAGTGAAGAACATCAGATTAGAGATTTAAGAATTAAGATGATATTTGACGAGCGCAGAACCTTTCAAGTGGATCCCAAATTTGTAGACCAACTGGCAATTCATAATCAGCATTCTGGACTTACCAGTACTTCTGTGTACAACTTAATTATTTAATAATTAATTAAACAAAAGAATAAATCCAAATCCAAACAATTGCTGCGAAATTTTAGATTTTAGAAATTAACGAGGTTATAAATCGACCAAACAACAAATATAGTTGCGTACTAGATGTAGCATGTAGTTGATCTTGCCACTTAGACAACAAACTATGCCAACACTCAAGAACATAGCAACAACCAAAACACGTGCTTGCCAAGCCATTGCCATCTGTATTGGATTTTAAGTTTCTAATTAAGTTTGTAAAATAATGATAAACATATTGGGATAATCGCTTTCGTTCATGCATCTTGTTTCGGGTATGGATTGGGGAACTGATGTGGAGATTGTAGCGATCTTTGATTTGAATAACTATACAAGTATGACATGTACACTATTTTTGGAATGAGTTGAGGGAGCCTCATTTGATGATACAGTTAGTATGGTCTTGACTCTTGATAGATTTTGATAGCTCTAATAAATGTGGTCGGGATGTTACATACTTTTTCTAATGTGTGAGGATGTATTTTTATAGACGTGTTGGTATGATCGTTTTCAAGATTCAACATTTTCTTTTATGTAAATTTTTTTCATTATTTAAAAACTCAGACAGTTTAATTACATCTTTATACTTTGAAATGATTATCTCTTACGTACAAGTGTTAGGTAAATGAGCTAAAGCTGGGAGTACCATCCTGTGTCCCCCAGTCATGATTCATTAATCCCACATCATCATGGTCTTTAAGTGCACATCCACAATCTCTCGATAAGAGCATCATTCTTTACTAGAAATTGATCAAATAAATATCTTCTCACAATTTTCAACACCTGTTATACACATAAATTTGTTTTAGTAGTACACATACACAAAAATTTCATAGTTAATACATTTCCAATTATATCTCAAAAATCCTAACTTTCCACTTGAATAATTTCCATAACGTATTGCCAATGGAAATAAAATTCCATAAAAATCTTAATAGGAACAAGGAACCAAAAAAAAAAAAAAAAAAAAAAAAAGACCCCTATATCAAATTCGGCCCCCTTAAACTACATGCAAATAATTTACATTTTGTTTCAAAATCAAATCATTTCAATAATTTTTTAGAAAAAATAGTGTACAGTCATGATATAGGATGGACAAGTCTGAATCTTCCAGGTAAGTTACCCACAACGTAAGGGATAGAGAGAGTTTTAACGATCTTTTCTCAATCTTCTTTCCAAAAAGAGAGTTATTTTTTTTGAAAATAATATGCTTTCAAATAATGCAAAATTTATATTACTCTCTCTGTCCCATAATATATGAGACGTTGGACTTTTTTTCACTATTCATACATTAGATTTGACCATAATCTATTAACTATTACTAAAACAAAACGTTGCTGACTTTATCACTATCCACATGTCACTCACATAATAAATTTTTTCTCGCCTAAATGCAAGGATGATGTCATTTTTTTTTTTTTTTTTTGTGGAGCTACCACATTTAACAATTTTTAAATTTGAATATTAGAAGCTTCTACATTACAACTACAACCTATCAATTTATCTTTAAAAAATGAAACAATTGTAATAGCACACTAATGAATGGACTCTTACATTGAAATATGTATTAGGCGATGTTGAACAAGCATTATATCATAATTTTGATGAAAATCTAAAACTATAAAATTACAAATATTTTTGTACAAGGTGCATAATTCTTATTTATATTTATCCATTTTTTTTAAATGTACAAATTATAAAAATAGATTTTATATAAACCGCGCATCGCACGGGTCTAAACCTAGTTTTTAACTAACATAATAAAATAATATTTTATTATAAAATATGTTGTAAGATAAGTATTAATATAAAGTTTCATAATATAATTATTAAACTAGTTTCATTAATATTTAATTATATAAAAATTAAGTCAAACTAGTGCATTGGCAAGTGTGCAGTGTTTGACTGTGTCAAGTATTATGGGACAGAAGGAGTATATATATATATATATATATATATATATATATATATATATATATATATATATATATATATTAAAACAAATAGCACTCGAAGCAAACTTGACATATGTCGCTATCTCCTTGAAAATTTTCCCACTCATTTGCGCAATCTTAAATAAAGCAATTTCAATAGTATATATATGTATCTGACCTCTTTTTATTTCCTATAAAATCTTAGCAATATATTTTTGGTTCAAGAAATGATATTTAGCGAAATAAATTACGATCATATTTGACAACAATATATAATCATATAATATAATACTCTTATTTAAACCAATAATATATATACTAAAATAATTTGAAGTACAAATCTGTCAAAATTTATTTTGGCCATTACGTAATCATTTAAATTTTCTAAATGATAAAATAAAAGAATATTACTACATTACTAAGATAGTAAATTATTTGCGTTACTTTTATTCTCAATGATTTTTGTGGTTATCTATCTATAATCTATCTATAATTATACTTAAACAGAGGACGCTAAACCTAAAACTTGACTCCAAATATCAATATATCAAATTTACATACATTCATACATGCTTAAAATATTTGGTGAAATATTGATGTTGGAGATCTCATCACAAACGTAAGTGAATATAACAAAAAAGTACAGAGGTAGTATAAAAGTAGTCATTCATCATTACAAATACAAAAGAATTACATATAAAAATTAGCGGTAGTAATACAAGCTGGCAGGTAACTGGGTGGGTAGACACCGGGTAATAGGCGGGTATAACATCGCATCCACTGCTTACCCGCTACCCATGGTGGGTATGACTTTTGTACCTATACCCGCCTACTTACTCGCCAAAGTTGGACTTATACCCACTCCAAGTGGGGCGGGTGCGGTGCGGGACTCACATTTTTAATTTATATCCACCTGCCATATATCCTTAATTTTAAGTCTATAAATGATTTAATAGGTAAAATAATAATAGCTAGAATAATTATTTAAATACCAGCGTTAAGTTATGTTATGATATTTCTAGTAGCTATATATGTTAGAGCGTAACTTCGATTTCCACTTCATCATTATTATTAAAAAATTAATTTGATAAATAAATTATACATATGAACTTATTATACCGTGCAATTGCACGGATACTATACTAGTCTACCCTATATGTCCATCTTCAATCTACCTATCAATTTTTATTTTCTTAATATTAATATTCTAAAACCCAAAAATTGATACCACTTTGTAACACCATCAAATTTCTCTCTATACATATATTAGAGTAATACATATAAATACTGTAGAGGGAAGCTTGGACATATTACCGACACGTTATTACATAAGGCTCACTTTAAAAACCACTAACCGCGGTACTTACTTTACTTGGCAGTAAAAGAAGCGCTAACTTTATTATTGATATAAAACAAAAAAAAAAAAAAGAAAAAAAAAAGAAAAAAAAAAACATAATAAGTGATATTGTTAAGTACTCAAACAAACTTGCTGAACTTAAATGAAAAATCCCTAATCTAAGTGAAAATCCGGACTTTCCGATGCGCACATTAACTCCACACCAAAAATCACGACTTCTTACCAAAAATGGTGCGAACCAAAACCAAAAGGAAATAAGGGTTAGCAAAACTTTAAATACATCTAAATGCAAGATATGTCAAATATTTTATAGTCAAACATGCTTTGAAATTATTCAAGTGGACAAATCATAATTAAATATACTTTCTAAATACTGTCACTATTTTTTTTTTTTTTTTTAAAAAAATGCATTAGTTTGACCGGCATATTTGTCGAAACGTAACTTTGACAATTTTAATTGTCCGTTAGTAAAAAATGTAACAAAATTAAATTATGAAAATAGACGTTGCGACTAATCGAATAATATATCATATAATAGCATTTATTTATTTTATAATAGTGATTAAATTTAAGTCAAATATGGCATGTAAATAGTGCAAACGTTAGAGTCATGAATTTAAAAAATCAGAGGGAATATCAATTTATTTAGAAGCTTTCCAAAATTACCTTTTTCCAATAGTTTCCATAACAACTTTCCTTAAAATAAATTCCAAAAATAGATTTCATTTTAATTGAAAATAACCTTCCTTTCTTAAATCGATTTCCTCTAACACCATGTTTGGGATAGATCAGAGAAAGGGGAAGGAAAATAAGGGAGGGGGGAGAGGGGGAAGGGGTGGGAAAGGAAAGGGAGGGGAGAGATGAATGGTGACTTTTCCTTTCAAATGTTTTTATTGTTGGAAAGATTAATTTCTTATAATTTAATACCTCCATTTTTCTCTTCTTCAATTCCCTTTCTTCTCATTTGTTATCCAAATGAAATATACTTCATCCCTCATTTGCCTTCTTTTTTCTTATATCCATTTACAATCAAAACAAAGCATAAATGTGAACACCCCCAAACTCATAACACCTCACATAGTCTATACTTGAGGAAAGACAGTTTCATACAAAGTTTATCGTCTTACAACCAATTCCGTATAGTGTGAATATAATGAATGTTTTGTTACTAATTCTAGTAAAATTTTCCTATCAAAATACCAAAAATATCCATGTGGAGATCAAAACCAACTAACTTCATTTTCATTACTCAAGAGCATTTTTGTCTAATCTCATACCCCATGTAGAGACCAAAACCCACTAACTTCCTTTCCATAATCTCCGTATCCACACCCATGTTGCAACTAACGAGTAATTTCAAATGGAGGAAGTATTATGGAGTGTTAAAATTAAACCATAACACTTATTTTGAAACAGGGGAATATTAGTACCATGAGAAATGAATCAAATGAGATTAAAATTGGCAAATAAGCTGACACAACACGAAACGGACACAAAAAAATCGGATTGGTATTAAGGGTTTATGACACGTGTAATTAAATAAGTCAATACGAGACGACATAATAATAAGTATGATGTATTAGTGTGGAGATTCCCTACATGAAATTAACACGACTCAACATCTCTATGAAAGAAAAACCAATATTTTATGAATTTAATGATAAATATGTTGGACGAGACTTTACACTTTTTTCTATAACTATAACACGACAATATAACACAAACCAAACATATAAAAACATACTAGTATTAATAATTTTTGACACGTTTAATTAAACAAGTCAATATAACACGATACATTTATTAAATGAGTTGGATTAACGTAGAGTTTCTCTCATCCATTTAATTTCAATTTTCAATTACGAATAGGAGCACATCAATCACAACACATTTGCCATCTCATACACAGGTTTTTTTTATTACATGTTTTAACTTTTAAGGAGGGGAATTATTCAAATTTTATTCAAAGTGAAAGTTAAAAAGCTTTATTACAAAGTACTCGTATGTTTAATTAAATTTTTTTAAAAAAATAAAAATCACTAAAATGCCAAATCTCAAAAAAAAAATCGCTCTCCAATCAGGAAAAGTAACAAATTAAATGTAAAAAAACGTCAGAAACCCTGCACTATTTACTTTCCTTTCCAATTCTCTCTTTCCTCTTCCTCTCAAAACGCCTTTCTTCTCTTTCTCTCTCTACCACCCCCAACTTTCTCTCTCTAAAACCCCACCCATGGATTCCATGGCGTTGATTTGCACCGTAGGTCTCCTCTTCGGAGGCCTGTATTGGTTCGTCTGCGTCCACGGCCCCGCCGAGCAGAAGGGCAAGCGCGCCGTTGATCTCTCCGGCGGCTCCATCTCCTCCGAGAAGGTCCAAGACAAGTACCAGCAATACTGGTCTTTCTTCCGCCGTCCCAAGGAGATCGAGACGGCCGAGAAGGTTCCAGACTTTGTCGACACCTTTTACAACCTAGTCACAGATATTTACGAATGGGGGTGGGGTCAGAGCTTCCATTTCTCCCCCTCCATCCCCGGGAAATCTCACCGCGACGCTACTCGTATTCACGAGGAGATGGCTGTCGATCTAATCAAGGTCTCCCCTGGTCAGAAAATCCTCGATGTTGGCTGCGGAGTAGGCGGACCGATGCGAGCCATCGCCGCCCACTCCCGCGCCAAGGTTACGGGTATTACCATAAATGAATACCAGGTTAAACGAGCGAAGTTGCACAACAAGAAGGCTGGACTTGATTCACTTTGTGAAGTTGTCTGCGGTAATTTCCTTGAAATGCCTTTTGCTAGCAACACCTTCGACGGGGCTTACTCTATCGAAGCCACGTGTCATGCACCCAAGCTCGATGATGTTTACTCCGAGATTTTCCGAGTGTTGAAGCCCGGATCTCTGTACGTGTCGTACGAATGGGTGACCACAGATAAGTTCAACGGCGAAGACAGCGAACACCGCGACGTAATCCAAGGGATCGAGCGAGGGGACGCCTTGCCGGGGCTAAGGCGGTACGATGAAATATCGGAGGCGGCGAAGAAGGTTGGATTTGAAATCGTTGATGAGAGAGACTTAGCGGCCCCTCCAGCGAAGCCATGGTGGGACCGCCTTAAGATGGGTAGGATTGCATACTGGAGAAACCACATTGTGGTTACAGTTTTAGCTGCTATTGGTGTTGCTCCTAAAGGAACGGTGGATGTTCATGATATGCTCTTTAAAACCGCTGATTATCTTACACGTGGTGGCGAATCTGGCATCTTCAGCCCGATGCATATGATTCTCTGTAGGAAGCCTATTGATGCGAAATCTGATTCTTGATTTCTGATCGTTCATTTCATCCTGATTTCCTCCTATATTCGTTCATCATCATCGACCGCTGAGAGTGGCTCATCTTTTATTAGATTGATTGATGAGGTAATTATATTAATTATTAAAAAGAAAAGGAAAAAGGGAATTAAATTTCGAAAATAGTCTTCATTTTGTGTTTCTATTGTCAGTACTCTTGTTTCCTTTTTGTTTAGCTTTAATTTTTTGTCAATTAAATTTGGTTTTGTGGTTCTTTTGGGTTATTTAATTAAATTAATTTAAATTATGTGTCGTGCTTAGTTCTTAATTCCTATTCAATTTTACTATTGTTGTTCAATTTTGGTGGTAATAATTTTGAGAATTTTGTTGGGTGGAAAATGATTGGTAGTTAATAATAGTATTCGTAGTCAGAAATAGATCGGCCTGATTAATAAAAAAGTTATTGTTTTTGTTTATTGTCGAATCGTGATTCCTTTCCAAGGAAAACCGTCAAATATAATAAATATATTAGTTGAATTATGCAATAATCGAATCTGATGAAATTATGAGACATGTTTTTGGCTCTATTCCGTTGTTCTCTGCTTAATTGTGTTAAAATAACAAAAGTTCGGTTTGGTTCTTGCTTCTAGTATGGTGAATTGGTGATGGTGTTGGATTATTGAATTGTTAAAATAACGGTTATTTAGACATATTTGTTATTATTTGTAATTGTATATTTAGCTGGTCAAATATTCGTACTTTTCAATGTATATATTTAGGTTTTAGAATTAAGTGGAAATTCACATTCTTAGCTAAAATTGAGGTGATCTTACATTAATCGAGGATTAGAATTCAGAAATAGTATTCCGTTACTAGTAGAGATGACAACTGGGTCATTTGAATCCGTCAATAAGGTCATTTTCAATTGATTATTAGGATCAGCCATTCAGGTGAGTCAAGTGATTATGTGTGGAGTTTGGGTGTTTCAAGTTGAATAATCAGGTATGAGTTTGCAAAGTCTAGGAGAAGCACTATAATCAACCGAAGAGGAGAGAGATAAAATTGATACTGCTGATGAAATCTAATTGTAGGTTTTCAGAATTACCCTTTGAGTACAAGACTTCAGCAATTCTGTATGTTACTAATTTAAGTTGAGTGTTGTATGATTATTGAAACCTCAACTGACTTGATTCCACATTACTCGAATCAATTGAATCAAATCCAAGCACTTGAATTGAAAACAATAAGTAGGCGTTTGGTTAGAACAATGGAAATGAAGTGGAAAGGAAACAAATAAGAGGGGTAAAAGGAATCATTTAACAATTACCTTTTCATTTGTTTGGTTTAATTATGAAAAGGAATCACTCTGTGTTTGACGAGGGTAAGGATATTTGTTATCTTAAGTTTTAGAGGGGTAACAAATGGGTGAAATCTCTTACCCTTAGGTAAAGGTAATTGTTACCAAACCTTCTAACCAAAGATTCAGTAACGGTAATGATTTAACTGAATTCATTTCTAATCCAAAATATACACTAACCAAACATGCTCTAAGGGTATAGATGATAATTGGGTTAAGAATTGAACATCCCGAAATAGGCAATTATTAAGCACTTAAGACATAAGACTATACGAGTAACACATTAACACAATAAGGTACGTATGATATTTTTGGGCAGAGAATTATAAGCACAAAATAGTTGAGGTATGTTAAGCAAAGGACAAATGAAGAAAGTGGAATTGATATAAAGAGGGGGGGAAGTAGTGGGTTGGTCCTAGGGAAGTGGTCACATGTGACACGTGACTGGTGAATGAAAAAAAAAAGAAAAAAAGAAAGAAAGAAAGGGAACATGAGGCAAGTTTAATGGGAGCCCACGAGCCCCACATGGACAACACTCTTCACTCTTTCTCACATGCATATACTTGTTCGATCTATCTCTCTCTTCTTTTTATTTTCTGTTAGATTATTGCTTTTTTTATTTTATTTTTATATTTAATTTAAGTAGAAAATGTGGGCATGAAGTTGTGGGTCCCATCTCCTGTAGGGGACCAGTTTGTCCCTTAAAAAATGTACGTAGTTCATCCATGTGTTTGCTCTGCCCTTGTCATCTATTCTGCTTACTGTCACCTCTATTATTCATCAACCTTATTAGCCTCAGTCGTGCTGTCCACACTTCCGCACTCTTACTTGGCAACACTCACCTCATTCCAAATATCCTAATTAAGTCCATAACAAACTCAAAACTTGTTCTGAACGTTTTGAATTTTGCACTATTTATTGAGGTTGATCTGATTTGTGATTCAAATTTAGGGTATTCAATCTGAATTTTATACTACTCGTGTTAATTATTATCTGCAACTTTCGAGTTTTTTTATATGTCTTAAATAATACCTAAAAATTGCAGATAATAATAACAAAGGTAGTATTTTAGATGTTTGAAATTGGATGACAAGACATTTTTGGATTAAATTCAGATCACTATTGTAAATTTTTCGAGCATTTAAAATGTCCAATTAAAAACAAAAGGGATATGATATTGCCAAGGTAAAAAATGCCATTTTCAAGGCCAAATTATCTATTCATTTCCTGTAATATATGAAAATGTATAAATTTCAAACTTATTAATTCAGTAAAATAGTTTGTAATCTTTTATTAATTTTTGTTGCCAATAATGTTCTGTAATCTTTTGTTACCTATAATTTTGGTAGCTAAATATATATTCCAATTAAAATCTTTCCAACACTTGAGACGAAAAAATAACTAGCTAGTTGTCATTCTCCAGAGAAATATATCATACGCCCAAAGAGTTCTACACTTCTACATCATACGATTCATATCCATAACCCTTGCTTATAATCAATACCAAAAGATATACAAACTAGTATTTTCTCAATGTTAAAGTAAAAAAAATACTAAAAAAAAAATTTTTGTATATATATTAAAAGTTTAAAACTTATATACTTTAAAAAAAAAAAAAAAAAAAGTTTAAAACTTATACAGTACTACATAACGAAAAGAGATAATAACACAGGATGTTCACTAAGATTTATTGAATTTGGTGCACTTTCATCACGGGCTAGATAAAAATCATGCGAATCATGTACAAGGAGTAGTAAATGTAAGAGGACTATATTGACGATGGCGACTCTATAATGATTAATAATAAATGGCGGATTTTGATAAAAATAACCGGTTGGTGGAGTTTGGAAAGATTTTAATCGAAATATTTAGCTACTAAAAATATAGATAACAAAAGATTATTAAAAGATTACAAAATATCTCATTGAATTAATAAGTTTGACATTTATAGATTCTCACATATTACGGGTAGTGGGTGAATAATTTTGCCTTGTAAGTGACTTTTTTTTTGCCTTGGTAATATCAGCCCCCAAACAAAATTATTACTGTATAATTTTAATTTTAAACAACCTTTTGGTAAAATTTTCAGATATCTTACCTTTTCTTTTAAAATATGTTCGGACATTTTGGATTAGATACACGAACTTTTCTATATTTGAAATGTTCAAATTTCCATCTAATTTTGGCTGCCTGTTATTTATATACTCCTTCCGTTGTCATAAAAGCATCACTTGTATTTACACAAAGTTTTAGGAGAGTTTATGTGTTTCAATATTATATTATATATCTGGGAAAATGAATGGTTAATTTACTTTAATAAAAGTATAATGTGGATCATGAACAAGATAGCATATGAGAGAGAGTTTTGATCATAAAAGAGAGATAAATGATAAAATATTCTGAGTGGGATTTTAGGAAAGAGAGAGAGATACTTTAGCCCATTCTTTTGAACTGCTCTGCTGTGTTGAAATTTGTTTTGCTCTGCTGAAATATGTTTTGCCCTACTTGGCTAATAATTAGTGATTAATAACTAATCATAAGATAACCAAAATAATAAAAAAATGCTAATAAAATCGAAATTAAAAGATTATAATTATAACGCTAATAAAAAACAATAATTATTTTAATGATAATAAAAAAATAACAACAAAACAACAACAACAACAACAATAATAACCACTTTGCTGACACCTGCTCTACTCTACTTTTATGAAATCTGTTTTGCTCTACTCTGCTTAGAAGCTCAAAAGAATAGGATATTCCTCTATTTTTTTAGATGCACCACTTTTTAAATCATAGATTCCTAAGCAAGTTTTAGAAATGAGAAAAAAGGGGACCCATGTAATATGAAAGAGATGGAGTGAATTTATAAATTAAAAAGAAAAGTGATGCATATAAAAAAAAAAACACCTAGAAGTAGCAAGTAATGCATCTAAATAAAAAACGAAGGGATTATTTTACTTTGATTGATGTTGCCATACATATTACGGAGTACATAGGAAAAACCTAGAGGTGATAAAAATTCAGACCGGACCTTAGCATCATATCTCATATCCAAACCTGCAAAAATGTGATCGATTCGTCAAGCCAAAGCGGGCTTTTGGGCTTTTTTCGGGTTGGATTCAGATTTTTAACTAGAAATGGGATTTTTTTTTTTTTTTTTACTTTTTCAAAACATGCCTTTTCTTGGGTCGGGATGTAGTTAGCCACTTCTAGGAAAACCATAGATAGGTGAGATTTCTTGAAATCATCTCAACGTATAGTTTCTATATATCAATTTTTTAGAAAGTTGTAATTATAATAACATAAAATATACTCTCATTGATCAGGATTCTATATTACAAGGGTGAAAATTGAATTTATGGCACTAAAAAAATGGGAGTATTGTTAAAAAAAAAAAAAAAAAGGGATTGAAAAATTCTATACTCCATCCCAATTTAATTTATTCCATTAATCTGGTACTAAACCTTTATTCTCTTTACCCCTTCCGTTCCTAAATAATTGACACAGTCAAACTTGACACACATGTCAATGTATTAGTTTACTTTAGGTATCATTTCAAAAATAAAAATTTTAACTTTACGCGCACGCGCGCGCGCATACACACGCGCGCGCACACACACACACAGAGTCAAGCATGGACTTTGTTGTGGGTTTGCCTAGAACTCAAAGAGGCAAGCATAATATCATGGTTGTTGTTCACCGTTTCTCCAAAATGGCACATTTCATTCAGTGTCACAAAACTGATGATGCATCAAAAGTTGCGGATTTGTACTTTAGAGAAGTGGTTCGTTTGCATGGTGTGCCTAGGTCCATTGTTTCGGATCGTGACACTAAATTTCTTAGCCATATTTGGAGGATGTTATGGAAACTCGTGGGGAGTAAAATTTTGTTTAGTACTTCACACCATCCTCAAACGGATGGGCAAACCGAGGTCACTAACCGTACCTTGGGTGTGCTTTTGCGTGGAC